TCTAACAGTTTAGCCTTTCTTTGTGTTTCAAAGGTTAATTCCCCCCCCCTTCCCCCCCGAATTACTGTACTGCTTGCGTTCTACCTCACCTTGTGGTTATTTATATGCGTACCTGAATTCCAACCTCTATGCTAAGCTCTTCAGGAGCAGATCATGTGTCTTGTTTATCTTTGCTTTCTACAGTGTAGCTTGCATAATGCCCATAGGTTTTTATTTTTTATTTCAGAAATACATTCTAAGTGGTAGTGAACATAAACGTTTATATCTTGCTTATTATTGTGTGTAACTTTTATAGCAAATTTTGTATAGTCTTTATAAACTTATTTTTGAAGGGTTGTAAAGTAATTTTAAGTTATAAACAAATATGAATTTTTTTAATATGAAAGCTTTGATTCTGTTTATAACATCTCCCAACATGAAATTGGAGAATACAAGTGGAACACATACTTAAAAGACTCTTAAAACATTTTGTTAAATTGATCTCCATAAGACTTTTATTGGCTATGGTAGGCAGAACACTAAAAGAGGCCCCCAAGGTTTCCCAGCCTACACTCTAAGACTGACTGATGAAACGTGAACTACACTAGAGCCAAAGGGTGATTATTCACATGAGCCTAATCTAATCGCACAGGCCTTTTTAAAAGCAAAGTTTTCTCCAGCTGGCGGTAAAAGAAATTCAGAGATTCGGAGTATGAAAATAATTCAATGCATAGTTGCTGGCTTTTGAAGAGTAGGATACCATGGCCATGGCCAGAGCGAGCTGCCTCTATTGGATTGTCAGAAAAGTCATGACATACTTTTTCTATGTTTTTCAAAGGTCCATCATTTATGTAAAGAACAAAGATCAATGATATATTGCCTGTTTTGTTTGACAACCTTTTTCCATCTCTCTTTTTTTTTTTTTTTAAGAAAGATTTTTGCTATAGGGCGTGCGCTTATTGGATAAACAGAGATACAGAGACAGAAAGCGAGAGATCACTTCCCAGGGGGAATGGCCACCCTACAATCTCTTCTCTTCATTCTCCTCTTGGGATCTTGGATATGTACGTACACACGCCTGGCTTGAGTTTGAAGCCACCAGGTCCGACTCTCGAACCGGAGTTGGCTACGTGGGAGTCCAGCGACATAACTGTTACATCATCTGCTTGTCCCACCTTTTTCCATCTTTCAATGAGCTTCATAATTCCTCATTCAGAAAAGGACTGTCTTTATCAGTGAAAAACTGAACAAGGTGCTGATTTACAACCACATCTGAATTGAATGTTATATCGCACAAGGAGTTTTGAAGAGGGTGAAACAAATGGAAGTCTCGTGGAGCAAGTTTAGGCGAGTGTGCTGGATGTGGCAACACATCCCAGGATATCTTGTTGTGCCCAAGCACAAGTCCTCATTCCATTAAACTACTCCCTACATGCTGTAATTTGCAGGTAATTTATGCTTACTTGATGCCACTTCACCCCCTCCTTGATATTTACACTCAAAACCAAATAGAAATGTATGGTGCATACGACATACGGCTTCTCTCATTGTCTGAGTATTTCATGTATGTATGTTTATCTTCTTAAATTTCAATTCTACCAATATTTCTTGGTCACTTACCATGTGCTGGGCAGTGTGCTGGACTTTTTGAAGGAATAGTAGCTGCCTCGAGTACACAGTCTTAGTGAATACAGACATATGGTCAATTACATCCCAAGCTGATGTGCAGAACTATTTGGTTGTTGGGAAAGTCATGATGCATTTTTCTATATTTTTCTATGCAAAAATGTGTCATGACTTTCCAGACGACCCAATATATGCATAGGGTGTCTAGAGAGCAGAGATGTTAGGAAGTGATTAACTTTATTCAAGAAGGTCAGGGAAGATCTCTCAAGAAAAGTTATGATAAACATGATTTAAATGAAAGTCAGGAATTGTCCAACTGGTCAAGTTTGGGAATCAAAGATTCCAAAGAGAAAACTATAATATGTTCTGAGAAACACGATTGGTAGGAGGATGCTATCCTGAAGAACTTATGGAATAGGAGTAATTCAGTACTGTTGGAGTATAGATGGAGAAGCTGGAAAATAAGGAGGGGTCAGGAAATTGTGTGTAATAAGTGTGGAGACAGAGGCAGTGGCAAAGTGATAAATGTCATTATCAATGTGGGTGATGGGGGAGTCTGGAGTGGAATGATCCGATGGACCTTAGAAATAACCTTTGACATTAAAGGGTAGATACATTGAAGTTCAGCGATAATTCCAGAGAGAGTATGACTGTTCCAGATGACAGAGACTGGGGGCCTGACTGAGTCAGTGGTAATGGGGCTGAAAGACAGATTGTTTTTTTTAAATATGTTTTTGTTTACTGTAGGGTACATGTACTTGCTGGAAAAAGACAGATAAAGAGAAGGAAAATGAGAAATCAGCCCCCGAGGGAATGGCCATGCCACAATCACTTCTCCTCCATTCGCCTCAGGATTTTGAACACGCACACACACATGCCCAGCATTTTTTTCCAGCTGCCAGGTCTGGGACTTGAAGCACGTAGTCAACCATGTGGGATCCAGTTGCCTTAACCACTTTACCACCTGGCTGGTCCCAGATTGAATTGATTATTAGAAGATAAAGTTAATAATTGATGATACTAGCTTAGTTATTGGCTGTAGATGGATTATAAAGGAGAAAAAAAGGCACTTACTGTTTTGTGTCTCTTCCATGTGTAATGCTAAGCACATTAAAAATGCTCAGAAATAGTCCTTTAATAAGCAGGTCTCCATAGCATCACCTGGTCTTGATTTAATTTTATTTCTAACTTAGAAGTTACTTCCTGTGAACCAGAACTGTCCATCATCTTAACCTAGTCTCTTGGTATATTTCCCATCTACTAAGATTCTCCTAATGTTTTCAAGTTATTGACAAACAGAAAACTACAAGGTGTCTTTGTTTTCCAACCACGTGTTTATCTATTTAGACAGCTGTTAACGTAGTATTCAGATAATGTGGCATGACCAATAGCAAAGGAGGAAAGATATCAAACCTCACCAATATACAAGCATAAACCTTTTCCTTGCAAGTCACATCCAGTACCATCACAAGCTTTCTTAAGTATTCAAGGTTATCTTGACCTCATTCAACCTTTAACTGTGTATCATAAACACAGATTTTTCTTGGAAAACAATTTCCAGTCTATAGAAAGAAATGTCAAATTCAGTCAATCACAGCTTTAGAATTATCAAGGAAGATCACCAATGTAGTATAGACAAAATTACTCTTTATGTAGCCTACCTGTAATCACACGCTGAGAGAGGAGAAATTCTTTCATTGACGTGAGAGTTCTCTTACATGGATTTTAAAAGATTCTTAAGAATTAAAATGATAACTGTCTGAGATTCCAATAGATTTTTGAAGAGATCATTTTAAATGATCAAAATTGGCATATATAATACACATAATCACTGAGAACTTTTTAAAAGATGATGTCAGAAAGCTATAGCTTGTTGGTCAAGTCTGGCTCACCACCTGTTTTTGTACAGGTGAGTTAAAACTAGTTATTACATTTTTCAATTGTTGGAAAAAAAAAGACAAAGAAGAAGAATATTTGATGATCAGTGAAAATTATCTGAAATCCAAATTTCAGAGTCAGTAATAAAGTTTGGTTGGAATCCAGCTCACCCATTCATTGTGTACTGGTTGAATTCATGCACTGAGGGCAGAGATAAGTAGTTATGACAGAGACCTTCTGGCTCACAAAGCCTTCAGGCTTTAATATTTGCTGTTTAGCTCTTTTCTGAGAATGCTTTCCAACGCCTGCTTTAAGAACTTTCTTCTAAGAAATCCAAGCTTTCAGTAAACTGAAAACTTCTTGATGGAGATTTCTGGTGTTGGTCATACATTACTTTTAAGAAAAATAAAGAAGACACATGAATTTAGTAAAGACAATGCAGTTGCTAGAAAGATACTAAAATTGTAGAGTAAGATAACAGATGTGCCTTTATGGTCATGGCGGTGTAGCAGTTATTAGGAACAAGCACTTTAGGATCGTTCTTTTGCTATGAATTTTTACTAGCTTTCTGTGACCTTGGGTTACTTACTTAATTACGTATACACCTCAGGTTTCCTGTTAAAAACAGGGAAATAATAAAATCAACCTCACAGAGTTAGGTTAAGTGTTAAGTGGGTAAGTGGGGTAAATTTTTCAGTAGAATAATTTACCTTGGTACTTGGTCTATTGTTAATGTGGAGTACATTTTATTAGAATTATCCTCATCCTCTGAAAACATCACTCCCACTTTTTTATTTCACTTCCAATATGGCCTATAACTTTTGCTTGACAACGAAATCATCAAGAGCCTCCTTACATAATTTTGCATAGAAATGGCCCCCCTCTCTATTACTGTCTGCAGAATAACTGTTCCCTGGTGCAGGAATCCAAGAGCTACTTGACCTAAAAGTAGAAAAAGAGGGACCAGCAGATGGCATAATAGTTACGTCACTGGACTCCCATGTAGTTGACCATGGTTTGAGTCCTGGACCTGGTGGCTTAAAACTTGCACCAGGTTTGTGTGTGTGCATGCCCAAAATCCTGAGAGGAGAATGGAGGAGAAGGGGTTGCAGTGTGGCTATCCTCCCTGGGGGGTGATTTCTCACTTTCTGTCTCTCTCTGTGTCTCTACAGCGAGTGTACACACCTATAACAAAAATCTCTCTTAAAAGAAAAAAGAAAGAGTAGCCTAGGAAGTCTAAAAACAAAAATCATGATAATATGAGTGTTGGAGGACTAATTTGCAGCAAGCTTAGTGTTTATAAGCAGTGTACTTTTTTATATTAGATTCTATTTCAACTTTTTCTATAGAGAGTCCACAGTTCTGTAATAAGTTGTTGATGAAAGTTCCTCTGATTTAGTAGCTAAAGTCTTCTGTATCTTTTTTTTTCTAGAGTGTATAAAGATTGTGTCATTTTTATCCTATTTTCCGTTAGGTTAACACTGTCATTTTTCTTTCATTATTTGATGTCTTAGCTGATCTTTCCTACTAGAAAAGCTCTTAGAAAATCTTGAGGGTGCAATGGTCAGGAACTTGGTGATTTCTTTCTCATTGGGCTTGTGGCTGCCTATCTCCACGCAAGCTCTGCCCTTAGAATCATTGTGACTTTGGATTACTTAAGAACTTAAGTAGTTATTTAAGAAGAACCAGAGCCCAGTGAACTCATGGCTTCTAGGCTGTGATACTACTTCTCTTTTCTTTCTTCATGTATAAGTAGGTCCTGAGCAGCCTCAGCAGAGATGGTCTTCTCACCAGGACTGGTCTGAAGCCAATGGACAAGACCTTGCTTTGGCTCAGTGGTGCAGCATAACACATTTGCCCCACCAGGCTGGAAGCCATATGGCCCTGGGTCAGCCTGAAGACATGCCAGGCATGCACATGGGTGCCCAGGGTCCCTGAGGAACTGGTGGGGTTGAGAAGAAGGAAGCAACATGACAAAGCCTTGTCAAAGTTGCTTCTCTCTCATGCATACCTCACTCTCTATCATTAAAAAAGAAAACAAAACAACAAAAAAACACCTATTTTCTTGGTGCTCACAAAGCAAATCTCTGCCTAAACACAGCTAATAGGGGGAAAAGACTCCTTAAATGAACAACTCTTTCATAACACCATTTCTTCCAAAATTAAAGAAATATCAGAATTCCAAAAGGTAGCAGATGTCTACACAACGCAGTTTGGAAACAGAATTCCTACAGGTCCAGTGCCCATTTTTAACAAATCACACGAAGAAATTAAATCCCACTCTTTTTTACTTTCTGTGTCTTATGTCTTGACATGTTTTGAAGAGAATGTCTCCAAATTTTATACATGTTCCTCAATTATGGTTGAAAGGGAACTGTTAATTGGGTTTAGCCACCCCAAAGAACAAAGTATTTCAGCATTCTTACATTCTGGTTGGACTCATGGGTAAGAAGACAAATGCAAACGTTCACACACTAGCCTGGTGTGTGGATAGAACCAGCGATGTTGCAAAGCAAGCCTGTGAGTGGAGTGGAGGTGGGTGGGTGGCTTCTGGTTACTGGTAGGAGTAACTCTCATCATCGTATTCCAGCTCATCTTCGTCATCATCATCCAGCAGTCCATACTTAAATTTCCGGTAGACAGTGCCATCTTGACCCATGTACACAATGTCATCATCGTCATCTTCATCATAGTCCCGGTCCCTGTATTCAATCACCTGATCCTCCTCAAAGCTTGTGCTCTCTTGATAGCTGCTCTTATAGGAGGAGTAAGACTTACTGGGTTCGGCCAGCTTTGCGTAGCCAGACTTCCCTGCTGGCTGGCCTCGGCCCCGAGATTTCCTCCAGACAATCACAGCCGCTCCAAGCAGAAGCACCAGCATAATGGAGGAAGTGACAAACAGAGCTGTCTTGGAGTGCTCAGCTGCAGGCCTGATCTCTCTGGTTCGAAGGATACACTCTTCTGCTGGAAGATGACCCCAAAGGAAGAGGGGAGAGGAAAAGTTGAGAGAGAAGAAATGGAATGGGGAAAGTTAGTTTTTGCAGTAACTTCACTTTAATTTTTAAAATCCAAAATGATAGAATAACAGTCTCTGATTTTCTTTCTTTCTTTCCTTCTTTTTAAATTTTATTTATTTATTTTTTATTTTTTAATAAGGGTGCATGTACTGCCAGAGAGACAGTGACAGTGAGAGCAAAGGTGAGAAATCACTCCCCGCCCTAGTGGGGATGGCCACACCACAATCCCTTCCATCCTTCTGGGATCTTGAGCACACATGCATGAGCACCCGGCATGAGTTTCAAGCCACCTGGTCCAGGATTCAAACTGCAGTGGGCCATGTGGGAGTCTAGTCCAGTGCCTTAACCGCCACACCACCTGCTGACCCTGGTCTCTCATTTTCTTAGAAGGCACACCACGCTGTGAAACTGCAGCATGTACCCCATAAGAGCATCAGTTTATGTCTGATGAAACCAACAAAACTTTCTAAGAATTAAGGTGAGATTAAAATTTAAAGAACACCCTGTAACTCATGGGTCAGCCTCCACGTGTCCAGCTTTATCAACTGATTCTTCTACTTTCCTCCTGAGGAACTATTTCATCTCAGGCCATGTTTAAGTTATTGCTACATCTTCTGTTTTCAGACCCAATTCTGATTTCTTATTAATAAAAGACTGAATTCTCTTCCTACCCACCCTTAAGCCTGGTCCAACATGACTGTCTCTTATTCAAGGACAAGAGCCAATAATTATAAAACCACTAACTCTTACAGCCAAGCGCAGTCTTAGAAATTATTCAGGGCAATGTGTCATTTGACAGTAGAGGAAACTAAAGTCCACTGAGAGGAAATGAATGGTCATATTGTCAGAGAAAGGATCTTGTTTGTGGAGCAACCAAGTTGTGAGTTCAGGAATCCTGACATGCAAATACCTAGAATTTCTCATAAAGGAATTCTGGGAGCAGATCCAAGTAGCTCCGCACATACTTATGGGAAATATACTGCGTGTTTCAGCGTGTACATCCAACGTGGCCTGATGGATTTTTTGTTAGTTCTTTCGTACTCTTCTTTCATGTTCCCATGTATTAGGTTAAAGAAAAGAAAGCAAAATGAGACATGCTAGCCAAATCATACCAAATCTTATTTTTCATAAATAAATGAAAAATAAGAAATATGAACTTTTCACCAAAATTATTCCTTCCTTCTCTGACACTGTTTTGGAGTTGAGCACTCCAAGACAGCTCTGTTTGTCACTTCCATGGTGCTGGTGCTTCTGTTTGGGGGCAGCTGTGATCTCTTGGAGGAAATCTCGGGGCTGAGGCCACCCAGCAGACAGCCCCTGCTTTGATGCCTTCATTGAGGACATGGCTGACCCAAACAGTGTCATGGAAGGAAGGAGTAATCCATAATTTTGGTGATAAGCTCATATTTCTTATTCTTCATTTATTTTCAGAGGCACTCACTGGAGAGAGACAGAAGAAGGGAAAGGAAGAAACCACCCCTGGGGGAATGGCCACACTACAATGCCTTCTCTTCCATAATTGTCTCAGGACTTTGGGCACACATGCACACATGTCTGCTGTGATTTTCAAGCTGTTGGGTCTGGGACTTGAACTGTAGAGTGAGTCATATGGGAACCAGTGCCTGAACCACCACACCACCTGCTGACCTATAATTAAGATTTTTAAAGTTGACACCTTTGCCCCCTGTCATCCATCAGCCTCTGTTTTGATGCCTTTATTGAGGACATGGACTAAGCAAAACAGTGTCATGGAAGAAAGGGAGAATCCATAATTTTGGTGAAAAACTCATATTTCTTATTTTCCATTTATTTGTGAAAAATAAGATTTGGTATGATTTGGCTAACATACCTAATTTTTAAACTTTTCTTTAACCTATCACATGGGAGCATGAGAAAAGAGTATGAGAGAACTGGACAAAAATCCATCAGGCCACGTTGGATGCACACACTGAAATACACAATAGGTTTTCCATAAGTACGTGTTGAGCCGCATGGATCTGCTCCCAGATTTCCTTTATGAGAGATTCTAGGTACATCCTACGTGTCAGCTCAATGAATAAAATACTGCTGCCAGATAGTGATTATTACTTATTAAATATTGGCCAATTAGATTTGATTCATCACCATTGTGTATTTCTCTCTCTCTCTTTTTTTCTTTGCCAGTGCTAAACAAGTTTTTTATTTTATGATAATTTTCATTCTTATGAGATTTTGCCCATAGAGCAGAATTTCTTCTTTTAAAGTAACAGCACTATCATTATTGCATCCATCATTAGCAACATCAGTACAGTATTTTGCCCTGGAGGAAGTATTGTAGCCCCAGAGGGAGAGATGAGCAATCTATGTGTAGTGCTCTGAGATAAATACTACCTGAAGCAGGAGAATCAATAAAAGACCTTTCCAGGTTGTTTCGATTGCTAGGTGCCATATGCAATCACGTCTTACTATTGTCCCTCTTAGGGTTGCAGAGTCAGGGGGTCTACGTTCTGAGCTACTTTTCTTTGAAGGAGCAGAGTGCCTCAGTAAAGAAGGAAAAGGTGATAAAGAGTAGGTGGACTTTTCGCAGAGTTGCCCTAGGTGGCTCTTCATAAGCCACAGAGGGATCTGGAAAGCTGATTAAATAGTTCTTAGTTGGAACAGGCTTTCAGAAACTCTGCCCACCATGTGCACACACTTCTGGTTTCATTTAAAGGCATTGAGGTAATAAGGATTATTATTCTTAGCTGACACAGCATGGATATCGGGAAATCAGATCTTCAGGGTGAATGTGTATGAAGAGCTGGGGGTAGGAGAGCGGAAAGAAGGAAATACTTAGCTTTTGGAAAGATGGTAAGTAGAACCTAGTTGAAAGGCAGATGAAAAACTAAAAAGAAATGACTAGTAGCAGTTAGGGGCCTGAGGTTTCCTTTACTTATAAATGAACAAACTCCCATAAATAAGGCATTCTCGTTTTGTCAGGCAATGAAATTGGGCATACCAGCCAGCCCCTTTGAGCCTCAGTCGCCTCATCCATAAAATGGGACTGATAATATCTACTTGTGAAGTGAGATGAAGGATGTGAAGTTTCAAGTGCAGAGGGCACAAGCAGGCACTTAATAAGCAGGTAGCCATATTGATTTTCCTGGAGTTTCCATCCTTCCATCCTCCTCTCCCACCGCTCCCATCAGCTTCCTAAGCACATGTCCTTCCTCTGCCAGCTGCTCCTCCTCTGTCTCACCTGTGGTGGCAGGGCAGTCGCAGCACTCCTGGGCATCGCTGGGATCGGAGGTGTTGCAGCAGCGGAGGCAGCGGCCGTCATCCACGTGCAGCAGCAGGTTGGCGGGGCATATGGTGCAGTTCTTGGGGCCAGGCCCCTTGCATTCCATGCAGCTCTCATGACATTTTTCACAGTTAAATTTCTCTCCCTGTTGAGAACAATCAGTGTTCCTTTTGATTGCAGACAGATTAACAAAGCGCTAGAGTTCCCATAAAGACAGCACGTATAGAGGAGAGCAGAAAGATGGTGTGTCCTGGGTCCATCTTAACTCTGCTGAGTGAAAGCATTTACTGTCTGGGCAGAACATCACTGGGCTCTGACCTCTGAAATCTGCTAGTAACAACAGCAGAACAGGCTTCTAGGATAGTTTGGGTCACAAACTGACAGCTCATGTGCTCAAAGACAGCTCAGGTTGAGGACTAGCTTTGACTGGCCCACACTACACTGCCTTTCTCAGTGTAAAACACTCTGCATTCATTTCCCGCGTTTGAAAAGTAGCATGTTTCACATGTAAATTCATTCCTCGTTCTTCTGTAAGAACCCCAAGGACCTGTCAGTGCTGGATTCCTCAGCCCCACATGGCAGCTTCACAGGCAGGACTGAGTGGCTGGGACTCTCTCTCTCTTAAGCTCTTCTATTCGACACAACCCTTAGCACCTGCCTATGGCACCAACACAAGGGTGGTACAACACACGCGTGAGTTTGGCTGTGGTTTTCTTTGCATACCCTTCCTCACTTACATTAGCTCACTGCGTGGTATCCATGGTTACTGAGCTCTTGTGGCCTGGCCTCAGAACAATAACTGTGACTGTGTAGCTAACCCAGTTAAACCTTACTGGGAAGAGAGCTGAAGGATGTGAAGAAAGTGACTTTCATCTTATAAGCTGCTCCTTGACTGGTGCTGGGAATGTGAATTAAAGACGACACGTTCCTATTTCACTCCTGTAACTTTGGAAGTAGAGTGGAGTAGACAGAAAAAGAACTGGAAATCACCTTTGTTGAACACCACGGCACGTTTCAGGTACTGCTAAGGTGTGGCCTTAGCTGTTATTACCGAGTCCACTGGGTTCAACCTCAGTTTTGATATTTAGCACTCATGTGGTCTTTAGCAAAGTATTTAACTTTTCTTAGCTACAGTTTCTCCAAATTATAATGAAGGGTGTTGTTAGAATTAAAAAGAAAATTCAGAGGGTTTCATGGTGGTACAGTAGTAAAATATGTGAGAGTGAAAGACAGATACACATGGGAAAGTTTCAGGTTCATGTCCAAAGACCTCCTGAGTACTCAGAGCTACCCATGCTCATGATCCAGGGCCGGCTGAGGCTGAAGGTGAATGTCAGGATCCTATTGGGTGCTATCTCTCTAGCTCATGAAAGAAATATATATATATACTTTTTTTTTTTTTTTAGAGAGAGAGATTTTTACTATAGGGTGCATATGCTCGCCAGAGAGACACAGAGAAAGAGAGAGATAGAAAGCAAGAAATCACCCCCCTGGGAGGATGACCATGCCACAACCCCTTCTTCTCCATTTTCCTCTTGGGATCTTGGGCACACACGCACATGCGTCCAGCATGAATTTCAAGCATCTGGGTCTGGGACTTGAACCGTGGTCTACCATGTGGTAGTCCAGCGCCTTGACCAGTATGCCACCAGTTGTCCATGAAATAAATATATTTTAAAAATGGATACTTGCAGGGTCAGCAGATGGTATGGTGGCTAAGTCACTGGACTCCCATATGCTGACTAGGGTTTGAATTCTGGACCTGGCGATTTGCTTTCTCGTTTTCCCTTTCTCTCTGTTGAGCTCATGTATTTAAAAACTAAAAAATGGAATTAAGTAAATTATTCCTTAAAAAATGGATACTTGCTATTGAATTTAAAATAAATAAACAAATAAAAAGAGAGTTCAAGGGTGAATATGCTCGTTTGTATTAATTTTACCATGTAGAGATTTACTTTTTTCTAAAGTTTGGAAACACAATTGAGAAGTTAGTAAACTCAGAAAATCCATTGCTTTTATATATTGCAGTGAGTCCTTCATATTGTAAAGACATGAGGAAATGAAAGATCAGTGTCAACTGTGTGGTCCCCCTGTTATTCAGATGTTTCCAGTTAGCGGAGTGGGAAGAGAGAAGATAATTCATGTGTCAGATATACTTTTCATGTAGATTGTCTTTGATTGAAATTAGGCTATGGGGGGAGGGTGGCACTGTTATTCCATGATGCAATAGAAGATTTTAAAATATCAAACCAAAACTATAGTGAGTGTCTGGATTTCAGGGCTTGTTGACTGCTGAGAATGACATGCAGGGACAGAGCTTGTGTTTCTCCCTAGAGAGGGCAGAAACCAACCTTCTCCTCCCCCAACCCCATACAGCACATTGTACCTCTCCCACTCTGTACAGCCCCACATGACAGTCTGAGTTGCAGATTCCTCCCATGAGGCTGTAACTCCACACACAGGATAAGCAACTCAATGGTCCTTCTCCTGAAAGAAAAACAATGATTCCAAGTTATGAGATGGTCACATGCAATCTCTTCTCATCCATTTGTCCTTCTGGGACTTTGGACATGCGTGTGCATGCACCAGGCATGTTTTTTAGATTTCAGCCTTTCTCTTGGTTCCAGAACACTTAGGAGTAAGGAATATGTCAAGCGTATTGAAGCAGAAGGGTGAATTAATTGTAAAGGTCTACGGAATAAAGTGAAGACCTAGAAATGATCCAATTAGTCTATTCTACAAAGGCTCTCAGACTAAAAATGGAGAATTTGGGAATGATAGATCTTTTATTATGGCAAGAGAAAAGCTTTTCGGAGAATGAGAAATCGTGTAGAAAGCTTATAAAACCTTTATTTGTCATTGTGCCTATTGTGTGACTAGTGTGGATGATGAAAACAGTTAATTTGGAGGGTCCCCATACTCAATTAGTGAGTAAGTCATGAGCAGACAGTCCCTAATTGAAAAACAGCAGTAGACATGTAACTTAAAATTCGAGGGCTAGCGAGGGGATGACTATGCTAATTACTCTGAGCTGATCATTATACCATGTATGGAAACATTATGCTGTACCCCATAAATATGTGTAATTTTTATGTGTCAATTACACATAAATAAAATTTCAAAAAATACGAGGTCTAAAAGGACTCAGCAGATCATTTTGTCTAGCGGTTTCTAATTTTGAGGGAAAGGTGGTGATAGATTTCTTTAAAATTCTCTTGAATGCTATAAACGCTCATCTTTGAAATTTGACACCTGAGTCTAGATGGTAGCACAGGAGTAAAAAGCACCCTCTACAAGGCTGACCCAGATGGGCCGGTTCTGATCACATGTCCAGAACCGTCCTCGAGTATGCTAGGTGTACATGTGCCTGAATCTGGGGGTGGACTATGACATCAAGGCTCTGTTGGGAAGGTGCCTGTCTCTCTACCTCTCTCTGTCTCTCTCACTCATGAAAGAAATAAATCAATTTAAATTATATTTTAAAAAAGAAATGTGATATTGGGACCAGCATATGGTATAATGGCTATGTCGCTGGACTCTCACGTAGTCAACCATGGTTCGAGTCCTGGACCTAGTGGCTTAAAACTCAATGCCAGCAGGTGTGTGTGTGTGCATGTACCCAAAATTCGAAAAGGAGAATGAAGGAGAAGGGATTGTGGTGTGGCTATCCCCCTGAGGGGGGTGATTTCTTGCTTTCTGTCCCTCTGTCTCTGTCTCTCTGGTAAGCGCGCACACCCTATAGCAAAACTCTCAAAAAAAAAAAAAAGAAATGAAAGAAATGTGACTTTTGTTATTATTATTATTTTTTTAATTTGCTAGAAGGTGTGTGCACTTGTCTGAGAGAGATAAAGAGGGGAAAAGTGAGAAAACACTCCTCATGGTGGATGGTCACATGCAATCTCTTCATCCATTTCTCCTTTCGTGATTTTGGCCATGCATGTGCATGCACCAGGCATGTTTTATAAGCTGCTGGGTCCGGGACTTAAATTGCTCAGTCAGCCATGTGGGATTTGACTGCCTTAACCATCACACCACTGGCTGATCTTATTTTATTTATGTTTTGAGTAGGTGAAAACTAAGTCTCAGATATGGATATCAGCTCTCTAAGGTAACCCAGGGAATGGTTGAGTCTGGTTCCAAATTCAGGTCTGTTGACTCCCAGTCAGGTGCCCTTTCTTCCACACTATCCACCTTCACACATGAACCACCAAACAGAGGTAGTCTAAATCTGCAGACATCTGCCGTGGAGGCAGCATGCTTCTCTCCTAACTCAAGAAGTCCCAACCATTTCCTTCTCTGTGGATATCAAGGGGTAGCTTCTGGAAGCAGATTGGGCACAGGAGTCCTGGACATTAGTTCATTTTGTTAGGGAGGCCATGACATTTTTGCTGAGGATTTCAGAACGGGAGCACAAGATCAATGGGCATAGAATGTGCCTGGTGTTGTGAACTGGAACTTGATACAGGTCTTCCCATCAGAACAATATGGTCAGGGCTGTTAGTTGAACTTGAAATAGAACCATGAATCCTATTCTTCACTTTCACAGTAGAATTAAATCAACTTGTCATGTTTGATCTGTGAGCCCCATCATTTTTTGGGGGGAGAAGTTTTTGCTATAGGGTGCATGCGCTCACCAAAAAGACAGAGAGAAAGCGAGAAATCACCCCCCAGGGGGGATGTCCACACCACAATATCATTTCTCCTCCATTCTCTTCTCAGGATTTTGGGCATGCACGCACACGCACCCAGTGTGAGTTTAAGCCACTAGGTCCAGGACTCGAATGGCAGTCAACTACATGGGAGTCCAGTGACATAGCCATTATGCCATCTGCTGGTCCCAAGCCCTATCATTTATAATATTGTCTCTGTGGAAAATGAATTTGGAGCACTGACCAATAGTTAGAGGGAAAAAAACCTTTATTACCCAATTGTCTCTTAGACTGGGGGCTGCTTATGGTGGCACAAATTCAAAATCACTTAATTCTTCCTTAGTTCTAGGTTCATACAGGGTTCTCTACATGTTCTGGAACACAGTTGTAGTATTCCAACCTCCTTTCCTCATCCTACATTTCTGTAAAATATAGCTTAGGTGTCTTACTCCAAGTTTTAAAATGAGAGAGAGAGAGAGAGAGAGAGAGAGAGAGAGAGAGAGAGAGATCACCGCCCTGGAGGGATAGCCACACCACAATTCTCTCTCCTTCATTCTCCTCTCAGGACTTTGGGCACACACGCACACGTGCCCAGCGTGTTTCAAGCTTCTGGGTCCAGAACTTGAACTGCAGTAGGGGGAGTCCGGCAACATAACCATTACCCCATCTGCTGGTCCCCCCTCCCCCCCCACCTTTTTTTTTTTTTAAAGATGCGTGGTTTTACTTATATGGATATGGAAATAGACAACTGAGCTCAGAGAGGTAGAGTAGAATGGTGGTTACCAGAGGATTGGGATAGGAGAATGGGGAGATGCTGGCCAAAGGATACCAACTTCAATTACACAGGAGGAACAGGTTTGTTTTTTCTTATAACACAACATGTCCAATGTAGCCAAAGATAGTGTATTGTATTTTTAGAATTGCTAATAAATTTCAGATGTTTCTTACCACAAAAAAATAAGTACCTGAGGTGATGAACATGTTAATTAGCTTGATTTAACCACTCCACATTATACACATATCTCATAACATCATTTTGTACCCCCCAAATATATACAATTATAATTTGTGAATAAATAGTAAAATAAAAGTAAATTTGGGGTCAGAAAAAACTAAAAGAGGGAGGAAAGGCAGTTACAAGGTTAGGTCACAAAATTTGTATGTTAAGTTTGGCTATATTTTATTTTTTTTTCTTAATTTGCCTGAGTGTACATGCACTTGCTAAAGAGAGACAGAGAGAGAAGAAAAGTGAGAAGGCATCCCGATGGGGGATGGTCAAACTGCAATCCCTTTGCTTCCATTTCTCCCTCATTTTGATATTTTGGGCATGGACGTGTATATGCCCAGTGTGTTTTCCAAGCTGCTGGGTCTGAAACTTGAACTGTGCTATTGACCATGTGGAATCCAGCTGCCTTAACTACCATACGACCAGCTTGCCTGGTTGGTTACTTTTTTTTTTTTTAGAGATTTTTTGCTGTAGGGCATGTGTACTTGCCAGAGAGACAGAGAAAGACAGAAAGACAGAAAGTGAGAAATCACCTCCTCCCCCCAGGGAAAATGGCCATGCCACAATCTTTTCTCCTCCATTCTCCTCTTGGGATTTTGGATATGCACACACACGTACCTGGCATGAATTTTGAGCCACTGGATTCAGGACTCAAACCAGTGTCTACTACGTGTGAGTCCAGCAATGTAATCATTATGCCATCTGCTGGTCCCAGTCGGTTACATTTTTTAGAATACCAGCAGCAGTATGGCTGAGGCTCAAATCCTGGATAATCCCCAAAGTCACTACTTGTCAGTGTTGGGTGACAAATCAGTGATTCCAATGACATTATTACAAAACCTTCACAGTTATGCTACTTAGAGTCATCTGAAAAAGGCAGTTTGTTAATTTTCAGAATGCTCCTGTTATGTTCAACACCCTACATCTATCATTGCCTCTGGATCTGCAGGACCCCTGGGATGCCTAAATGACAAGCATTTGGGCATTTCCTTGAAATTCAGAACAGCTCACCATCTGCTTTCCCTCAACCTGACCCATGGGATGAATTGAACAAATGCAGAGTAGCTCCTGGTGTTTATCTAGGGGCATGATTTCACATGGGCAGAGGCAGCTTGGGAGAGTTACACACTTTTAGTTACTTAGCCTGCTTTTTATTCCAAACGGTCTTAGGAGGAAGATCAATAAAAAGTTAAATGTGTGAAGGCAAGCAATGAGCTAATTACGGCCATAGCAGTTGCACACAAAGGTGCGTATTAGGCTTCAGTATGCTATAGGCCCTCCCCCATCCCATTTCCAGTACTTGAATATGTTCTTTTTTTTTTTTTTTCTCCTTTATGAGAGAGAAAGAGGAAGAAGGAGAAAGAGGGAGAGAGGAAAAAGGGAGAGAAACAGAGAGGTATTTTTTGATATCCCATCTTCCCAACTGGCTAGGATTACAGATATAGACAACTGCACCTAGAATGTTCAGGTTGGCCAGTAAACAAACCCTTGTCCTCCATGTGGCTTCTAACCTCGTAAGACATGTACCACCATAGTTGAACTATTTTCTTTTTAACATCCTAAAGTTATTGAGCAATCAAAAATGAATGAAATACAGGGAGTAGATAGTTGCGCAGCTGTAAACCATGGTGCTCTGACAGGGTGATCTACATGGAAAGGTTCCAGACTTGTGTCCAGGACCCTCCCTGACTATATTGGGTTCATAATGGCCACGGGGCTTGTGAAACTGAGAGTGGATTGTGTCATTAAGACCCTGTATAGAGAGAGATAGAAAGTGAGAAATCACCCCCGACAGGGGATGGCCACGCCGCAATCCCTTCTATTCCATTCTCCTCTCGGGATCTTGGGCACGCACGCACATGCACCTGGCATGAGTTTAAGCCACTGGGTCCAGGACTTAAACTGCGGTCGACTGCATGGGAGTTCAGCGACATAGCCATTATATTAACTGCTGGTCCCCTGTCTCTCTGTCTCTCTCCGTCTTCCTGGCGAGCGCACATGCCCTATAGCAAAAACCTCTAAAAAAAAAATCACTGGGAAAGGGACTAGCAGATGGCATAATGGTTACATTGCTGGATTCCCACCTAGTCAACTGTGGTTTGAATCCTGGACCTGGTGGCTTAAAACTCATGTCAGGTGCATGTGTGTGCATGCCCAAAATCCCAACAGGAGAATGGAGAAGGAGAAGGGATTGCAGTGTGGCCATCCTCCCTAGGCAGGGAGGGGAGGTGATTTCTCACTTTCTGTCTCTCTGTCTCTCCGGTGAGCACATGTGCCCTATAGCAAAAAAATCTCTCTCTCTTTTTTTTAAAAAAGACAAAGAATCTCTGGGACAGACAACAAAGTATCTGGAAAATAGGACTGGAAGTTGAGAGGATTTGAAGCTAATGTCTTAGGGAGTTGTTGAAGTAATGAAAATAAATAGATTTTCCTAGACAGATATAAAAAGTAGAGTAGGCAAGTGGAATTGGTGACTAACAGAGGGTGCTGATGCTGGAGAGGACTGAGTCTGAGGCTGGGGAAAGAGAGGAGCCTCTATGGGTAGCAAGAAGGCAGAAAGGGGCAAAGCAGGAAGGAAAATGTTTTTAGTTTTCTATTCACACATGCAGAACAATGGGTACATTCTCACCTTTGCATTTTTCACAAGTTGGATGGCATCGCTCACAGGTCTGCTTGCTCTGATCTGCATAGTAGTGTTCTGGACAGGTGCGATAGCACTCTCCCTTAGGGCGGAGGAGAAAGAAAAACGTATCGCAGGACAGGCAGTCCGTGGGCAGGGGGCCTCGGCATGCCTTGCAGCTCTGGTGGCATCTTTCACACTGGCTGGTAGAGTTTTCTGCATAATATCTAAAACCAACAGGAGAAGCAAAGACAGAATACTAAATTTGCTCCAAAATTGAGTGTGATGGGGAAAACATGGTTAGTCAGTTAGGGTTCATTTACAAACTGGGTGATGTTAGCTTCTTGACTTTTCTCATTAGATTAATTTCTAATGATTCCAATGAATCCAATGACAAAGATGTCTAATCTGTAAAATGGGTATTATAATCTCTTCCCTGCTATTTTTGAGGATTCAATCGAATAACAACTATGAAAAGACCTAGCACTTATCAAATGTAAAAGCACCTTTATGATTGCTAGCTATTACAGCCTTTCCACCATATGCTTCTCCATATTCAAGCTTTAGTGATGTTGAATGAGATCAGGAAAAGATTTTAACTTTTTTTGATTGCCAGAGGGTATGTGCACTCACCAGAGAGAGACAGAGACACACACAGAGAAGAAGAAAGCACCTTCCAATGGAGCCCAACCACACTGCACTCTTCTCTTCCATTTCTCTACCCTGTTGGGATATGCAGTACACACGCACATGTACCTGGTGTGTTTTTCAAGCCATGAGAGCTGAGATTCAAACCACAGTCGGCTATGTGGGATTCAGCTCCCTTAACCATGAAGCGATGGGGTCAGCTCCAAAACTGTTTTAAAATACTGAGTGGTTTTTCTAATTTCTCAATAAAAAAAAAAAAAACAAACCTCAAAATAAGAGTTGACATGAGTGATGTCAAAATAGATTTTTTGGGGGACCAGCAGTTAGCATAATGGCTATGTTACTGGACTCCCAAGTAGTCAACCGCAGTTCGTGTCCTGGACCTGGTGGCTTAAACTCATGCTGGGCACGTGTGCGTGCGTGCCCGAGATCCCAAGAAGAGAATGGAGGAGAAGGGATTGTGGCATGGCCATCCCCCCGAGGAGTGATTTCTTGCTTTCTGTCTCTCTGTCTCTCTCTGTCTTTCTGGCGAGCGCAGGTGCCCTATAGCAAAAATCTCTCAAAAATAAAAGATATTATCTCCTTTGAAAGATTTTTGAAAATTACATGCAATAATAATAATGACGATTCATTAAGTTTCTATCACGTCTGCTAGTTCACTAAAAATTTCATAAACACTATTTCACTTAATTGAACGTGAGGATGAGATTCTAGAGCATAGTTGTAAGGAGCTTGCCCTTTGGAACAAAACTGTATTGTTTTGAATCCCAGCCATATCACTTATGAGCAGTGTGACGTTAGGCCGGTCACTCAACATCTTTGTGCCTCAAGGTTTTCAGCTGTAATAAGATGCTAAAACAAGTGCCTAACATGAAACATGTGATTACTGAGAAAGTGATGAGAAGAGTTCTTGCCACAATATAAGTAATTAATGTATTGTAGGGATAATTATAAATTGTATGATTAATCTTCATAGCAAAACTTATGAGTTAGATATTATGGTCCCTATTGTACAGATGCAAAACTGAGGCTCAGACAATTTAGACAACTTATCTAAGATCGGTTAGTGCCGTGGGACAATACGATTTTAACTTATCTGTCAGATACCACTAAAACAAAACAGTGCATTATTTGAAACTAAATCAAGATCTCACAAGTAAGATAAAAGAGGATGGTATGGCCTGAATGTGGTCTGTTCCTACCACAATACATGCTGGAATTTAATGGCCAATTTTGTGAGGTGGGTGTTTAGGAGGTGATAAGGTCCTCAAGATGGTTGACTGTCTTTCTCTGCAGAGGAGGTTAGTTCTCATAAGACCAGATCGGTTCTCATGAGAATGAAATAGTTCTCACGACAGTGGGTTGTTAGAAAGTAAGTTCAGCTTCCTTGCTTTTTTTCTCTTCCTCTCACCAGATGATCCCTCTCATTTTTCCACTATGTCATGAAGCAGCACAAGGGCCTCACAAGCTGTGGCAGCCCAATCTTGGATTTTCCAGCCTCCAGAACCGTGAACTAACAACACATCTCTATTCCTTATAGACTATTCAGACTCAAGTATTCTGTTATAGCAACAACAATTAGATAGAGTCAAGAAATTCTTGCTGATATAAGATCTGATTGCATCAAAGTGGAGAGTTCTATCACACAGCAGAGTAACAATAGTTGGTGAGAATTCAGAGTATTTGCTTACTTAATGACCTGCCTGTTAATGACCGCTTGGATGTACAGCCCGGTTTCCAGAGCCCAGAATCTCCTTTCTCAGGCTGTGTCTTGTTCAGGTAGTAGTCACCACATGAAGCATTTACAATCACGCAAGACTATATATTTTGTTTCTAAATTTATACTTTTTTGTGCACCCATAATAGTGTTCAGAATAAATAGAAACATTATTCCAAATTTATATTGTTGTGTTGTGGTGTGTCTTGTTGCTTTTTTGGTACTTATATAACATAGTTTTTGTATGGATAAAATTACATTATTCTAGTGTGATGTTGCGTGATATTTACTGAAAAATATGGGACCAGCAGATGATGTAATGGTTATCTTGCTGGACTCTCACGTAGGCAAGCTCAGTTCGAGTCCCAGACCCAGCAGCTTTAGCACTCATGCTGGGTGTGTGTGTATGAATGCCCCAAATCCTGAGAGGTGAATGGGGAGAAGAGATTTCAGTGTGGCCATCACCCCTACCCCCCGAGGGTGATTTCTCACTTTCTGCCTCTCTGGCTCCCTTTGTCTCTCTGGGAAGCACACACACCCTATAGCAAAAACATCTCTCTAAAAAAAGAAAAGAAAAGTACATACCCTATGGCACCACAGCACACCACAAGACGTCAGTCTTTAAGCTTCTTGCTTGTTGACCAGTAGTTTCCCAGATTTAGCCATAGGAATGGAACTTGGCCGTTAATGAGGAGTGCTTGTACTTCAGATAGAAGAGTGATTTGAATGTGTACAATACAATGTACTAATAAATGCTTAAGATGCTGAGTATGTTTATGGTCCTCATTTGATTAATACACAGTGGATACAGGTTTTGAAAATCCACACTCTACCTCATAAATTATATACAAATATTATATATAAATTAGACGTGATAACAATAAAATTTTTTTTATACAAGGAAATTCTTGGGTTGACCCTGTAGTGCAGTGGTTAAGTGCTGTGTACTGGGAACTAGATCCCACAGTCAATCATGGTTCAAATCCCAGTTCTAGTAGCTTGAAAAAAGCATGCCAAGTGCACATGTGTATGTGCCTCAATCCTCATGGGATGGAAAAATGGGGGACGAGGGGGTGCTTTCACTCTCTCTCTAGTGAGCATACCTACCCTCTGGCAATTAAAACCATTAATGAATATATAAAGGAAAATCTAGCTACAAAATTAAAAAAAAAAGATTTTTTTAAAAAAAGGAAATTCTTGCTGAAGATGACCTTCTAGAAGTCATGTGACTCATTTCTGCCTCTCTGGACATAATAAGCACCTTGAAGCTGTTCTAGAAACTTGAAGCTTCAGCCTTGGTTTCTCTGGTGCAAAACTATGGGCCTCAACAGACTTTTTCTTGTAGTCTAATTCAGCTGCATGAATTTCCTGAGAATGAGCCGTGCTTTGGCAATGCCGAGCGAGACTTCCTCTGTTTTGCCACTTGTCACGATCTGAGTGAGTACACTCGTACCTCTCTGGCCCAGCCTGAGGCAAATTAAGTCCTTCTTTACTTTCGGCAGTTACGTGAAGAACAATTGCTAAGAGCCAATCGGTAAAACTCTGAGGTATTTCAGAGGCAAGGCGATGTAAGAGAACAAAAGCATCTAAAGGTTCTGCCTGTCCCATGGTGGCTACAGTGGAGAAGGGTCTGTAGAGTGACCATGCCCCATGAGTGAGTATTTTCTCACTTTCTCTCTCTCTCTATGCTGAGTGTACTCACTGGAAAAGTAAAAACAAAACAACAGAGAGCATTGATCACAAATCGAATAATTGGTAAAAACTACATAACTTACTTTTTAGAATTATTTTATTTAACTTTATTTATTTATTTATTTTAATTTGACCGGAGAGGGAAAGTAAGAAAGCAAGCCACCAGGTATGAGATTTGAACCATGGTCGGCCATGTGGGAGTCCAATGCCCTTAACCACCATACCACCTGCTGGCCCCAAGACCACATAAGGTTTTAAAAAAAGGAGAATAGGGAAAAGTATAAGTCTATACAGAGCAAAGGGAACACACAGGATTGGAGGCAGAAGATCAGGTTTTTAAGTCCTGGCTCTACCGGTAGCTATGTGACTTTGGGCTAGTTACTTAACTCCTCTGAGCCTTAGTTTCCTCATTTGTAAAATGGAGAGTCTAATATCAAGAACTGTTGTAGAATCAAATTATAATGTAAGGATACATTGTGAGTGTAAATACTTTGTAAACTCTAAAGCAGCATATGTGTTTTCTATTAATGTGGTTACTACAGATTATTAAAAAACAAAAAAAACATCATTAGGAACTATGGAAAAGAAAACATACCAATTTCAAGTACATTTTTTAAATTATCAAAGACTGGGACCAGCAGATGGCATAATGGTTACATCCAACATGGCTGACCACTGTTCGAGTCCTGGACTCAAAACTCATGCTCGGCACTTGTGCATGTGTGCCCCAAATCCCTAGAGGTGGGACCAGCAGATGGCGTAATGGCTATGTTGCTGGACTCCCATGTAGTCGACTGTGGTTCTAGTCTAGGACCCAGTGACTTAAACTCACGCCAGGTGCATGTGCGTGTGTGCCCAAGATTCTGAGAGGAGAATGGAAGAGAAGGGATTGTGGTGTGGCCATACCCCCTGGGGGGTGATTTCTCACTTTCTATCTCTCTGTCTTTCTTTTTCTGGAAAGTGCACCTGCCCTATAGTAAAATCCCTCTCAAAAAAAAAAAAAAAAAAAAAAAAAAAAAAAAAAAAGAAAATCCCAAAAGGAGAATGGAGGAGAAGGGATTGTGGTGTGGCCATTCCCCTAATGGATGAAATCTCAGTTTTTGTCTCTCTTTCTCTCTGATGAGCACATGCACTCTACAGCAAAAGTCTCCATAAAAAAATAAAATGATCAAAGACTAATGAATGCACAAAGACAACGAAGAGCTTACTGGATCAGATTGCAAGAAGAGAAGAGAACGAGACCACCGTTTACTTCGATGACTCATTTGTGTGAGGTGTCTATGAAATCCCTTGAGCCTCACAGCCTTGCATAAACACAAACACTAACTTGGACTTTAAAGAATCTTTTTGAAGTGAAACACGAAAATAAGTATGCATGTTGTAACAGGATATAGAAAATTACACACCTGCCTTCCCATGGCAAACAGATTTAACATATGAGGTGTAGGCAATCCATAAACACATTTTTTTTTCAAGTTTATCTATTTTTGTTAGAGTGATGTGAAAGAGAGAGAGAGAGAGAGAGAGAGAGAGACAAAGGCACCTCTACCAGGGTCTTCATGCCATGATTCATAACCAGTCTCGGACAACCCAGGTCTTGGGCACACATGGGCATGCCCAGTTGCACAAAGAGGCACTGACTGGGACACAAACCTGGGGCCTTCTCATGTGGGTGCCGCATTGCTAAGCACTGCGTTACCACTGTGTATGTCACCAGCTGGCCTGGAACATTGATTTTATGAAAAAATAATTCTCCACTTATACCTCATTAGTATTCCATTTCTTTCCTATTAGAGAGCTCTGTGGCAACCTGTACCCTCTCCCTGCCATGCCTGGGTAACTTCACACAGTGGAATAATTAATCCTGTGGTCTTCATTCTATTTTGATCACAAGAGTATACAATTTTTGTATTTGAGCATATGAGGGGACTTCGAAAGGCTCGTTAAAATATGAAATTAAAGTATGAATTTATTGGGGTCAGTAGGTGGTGTGGTGGTTAAGGGTGTTGGACTCCCACATAGTCAGCTGCAGTTTGAGTCCCGGACCTGGTGGCTTACTTTCTCACTTCCTCTCTCTCTCTCTCTTACTCTGTCTCTTTCTGGTCAAATTAAAATAGATAAAGTTAAACAGAATAATTCTTTTAAAAAGTATGAATTTATATTAGTGTAAAAAAAATCCAAAATCCATATTTTTTTCATAATATGCATTTTCCGTGAACTTTTTGAAGCCCTCTCATATTTAGTGACTTGATTTGAAGCAGAGGGGAATTCTTTCATGGGATCCAGATCTTCTCAGACACTCAGCTGGGTGAAGTAGAAGGGCCAAGCCAAATAGTCCTATGCTCATTCTGGTCTGGCTGCAGGACCCTCTTCATTGATCCTCATGGCTGGTGTTACTCAAGAACAACTTATGCCTGTGGCTCTGTGCTGGGTGTTGTAGTAGCATGTGTGAGAAAGAAGAGGTGTAGGGGCTGCCAAGTGGCATGGTAGATAAAGGTGCTGAATTACCACATGGCTGACTGCGGTTCAAGTCCTGGACCTGGTGGCCTGCTTTCTCTTTCTCTCTGTCTCTCTCTGGTCAAATTAAAAAATAATAATAACAAATGAAATAAAATAAATAATTATTTAAAAAAAAGGAGAGGTGTTTTTCTCTCTGTAGCTTAAAATTTTCTTGGGAAGAGACATATTAGAAAATAGGAACAGGTTTTGGAAGGTCAAAGCCTTTGTCATATTCATCTTACTCATGTATACATACATGGTGTTTTTCATTAAATATAGTGAAACAAAGAGTGAATGAATGAAAAAGGCAAATAAAAAGGCATGGTCCTACCTAGCACTACAATGAATGAAACAAGCAGTAATTGCCCCAGGATGGGAAACAAAAAAGATGAGTCAATCCAGGAAAAGCATTTGGCAAGGGTACATGGTTCAAGCCCTTCTACTGGAGTCTGGGAACTGTCAGAGCCTTAGATTAGAGTAGGAAGGAACAGTCAGCCATAGGTCCATGGGTCTCTAATCAATCTTTCTCTTTCCCGGAGATACCTGGGGGCGGGAGGGGGATTATTCCATCATATCCTCTTTCTAATTTTTTTTTTTTTTTGAGAGGTTTTTGCTACAGGGCACATGCGCTCACCAGAAAGACAGAGAGAAACAGAGACAGAAAGTGAGAAATCACCCCTCGGGTGGATGGCCACCAATCCCTTCTCCATTCTCCTCTCGGGATCTTGGGCATGCACTCACACATGCCCGGCGTGAGTTTAAGCCACAGGGTCCAGGACTCGAACCGCAGTTGACTACATGGGTGTCTAGCGACATAGCCATTGGGCCAACTGCTGGTCCCCATATCCTCTTTCTAATATGCTGGTAACAAGACCTTCTGCTGAACACACCAACCACTTTTCATAGCAGGCAAATAATAGAGTCCTTATCTGTGCAAAAGCCTTTCATCAGATGATTCATCAAATGTGTCTCAGTTGTCTGATAAATAAAGCTGTAATTTGTGGATTTATGGGGGCATGTCAGGCTGGAGAATTAATGGGGTATAAGTGGAGATGGTAACTGAAATTGTTCCCTTTGTAAAATCAATGTTCCGCATGCCCTGCTTAGATTTTGCTTATTAAATCTGAATCAGAACACATCCTGATGCCGGGGGGTGGGGGTGGGTACAAATCTCCATTCATGGTCTTGGGCCTCTCTGGGAAAGAAGGCTTTGATTGCTAATATCTTTTGGATTATTCATGAGATCAGACACTGGGTGAGATTAGTCATTACTGAGTCTGATTTGCCGATCTGAGCCTCTGTGTTAGCCCACCAAACGATTTGGTTTCTCTTCCATTATTGTGATTGGCTCCTCTTCGCTCCTCTCTCTTTGCTCCTTACTAGCCCTGAGACTTCAATCTGGCTGTGTAAGTTTTCCAAGTCTTAGTTTCCTCATCTGCAAAATGGGTCGCTATCAGGAGAGGCAGTGGAGTCAGATGGGGCGGGGACTGCCGAGCACCTTACCCTTCCCTGCACTGCAGCAGGCACTCCTTCCCCAGCTGGAGCCAGCCAGGCCTGCAGGAGCGGCACTGCCTGCTGTGTCTCCCTTCACATGTCCTGCAAGAGCTGTGGCAGGGGGCACAGCGGTGGCTGTCCTCGTCAGCGTAGTGGTCTTCTGGGCAGTCCTTCACACAGGTCGTATCTGTCAAGGGAGAAAAGGAGTCTGTCTTCACACCCAGCACGACACAGGTGCCCCACGCCTCCTCTGTTCCCTCCATGCTGCGGAACACAGCAGAAAGAAGCGAGTACAGTAGCAATGAGACAGTGTCCCCGTGTGTGCCGAGGGACATGCTTGGGAGCTCAGATGAATGTACAAGAAATGGAGTCTCCCCAAAGGCCACGAGGAGTTTAGAGCAAACAGAGGCCAGGCTGGACTAGTCAAGGTGAGTAGGGAAGAAGCCACGTTCTGGTAACTGTGGGTACCGGTAATTGCTCATTGTCTAGCTGATGTTTCTGGTTAGAGGGAAGCCCATAGCTAAAGAAGAAACACCTCTTCATTAGGTTCCTATTGCTACTGTAACAAATTGCCACCAAACATGGTGACTTGCAACAATACAAATGTATTGTCTTACTGTTATGGAGGTCAGAAGTCTGAAACGGGTCTGTAAAGCTACCTTCCTTTTGGAGGCTCTAGGAAGAATCTGTTTCCTTACCTTTTGTAGAAGTCTCTAGAAGGACCAGTTGCATTTCTTGGCTCTTGGCCCCTTCCTCTATTTTCAAAGACAGGACTATAGCATCTTCTCTCACTGTCTCTCTCCCTCTGTCATCACATCAGCTTCTACTAGGAACTCTGATTCCTTTGTCTCTCTTACGGACCCTTGGATCTGCCTGGATAACCAGGATCCTCTCCTCATATCAAGATCCTTAATTAAACGACAGCTACAAGCTGCTTTTTACCATGTAAGATAATCTATTTACAGAATCTGGGAAAGAGGGTGTGATATCTTCAAAGGGACCATTACTTTAATTGAACACACCCACAGGGGGTTATCTACTTTATAAAGTAACCTGACCCCAGTGGTGTGGTGATGTGGGCCAGGGCAGGAAGAATGTGAGACCAGGCTCGGGCAAATTCTGTACACAGGTCGATGTTCTACACCAGTGCTGAAGTTCAGTGCTGAGTTTGCCTCCCCAGCTTTAAGGGAAGACCACTCTGTAATGACCAGCTGTCTTCCTCTCCAGATGAAGGCATTTGAGGTGACCTCTCATGGCACCTCGGATTGGAGAAAATTAGAAAAGAAGGTCCTAGGGGTGGAATGATGGGAGATCTTGTTGGAGGGAAAGTTTTTGATAAAGTAGCAACTGCTGGGAAGGATGGTCTCTGAGGATCATGGAACTGGAGCAAATTGGTGGCTAGAGAAGAACCGCAAGTTCAGGATTTCCTACTGTGAGGTGGTCAGGAACCGTATGTGGAAGGATCCCTGTGTTTCGGGGGAAGAAGGGGCCTTGCTTTCTCAACAGGAAGAGGAAAAACCTTGCCTCATATTTTCACTATGAGTGTCTCAATTCCCAGGTCAACTCTGTTGGGAAGACAAGTCTAACCTCTGGTGGTCACCATGTCTCTTCCATGACCTATGGTTTCTTCTTGCAGTTGAGTTGAGTGGAGTTTTGTTTTGGTTTCTTTCTTCCATGCTTATTTTAAGCCTAATGCTTATATCTCTGAGGATGTTGTGTCACATTAGCAATGACCTTCATAAAGATCTCAAGGTGGCCCATCTCAAACTGTGCCAAGAAGATGTATTAATCAGCAGAGGCTAACTTAAGGGGACATTCTGATGAAGAGCTGAGTGTCTGCATATTCTTCAAGTGTCTCTCCATAGATTGCTTACTTATTACAAGGAGAAAATGATGGGGTGTAGAAACTGAACATCTTGATCAGATGATCAACACTAATATCATCAATGAAAGGCAGGTAGGTATCATATGCCTCCAGATACGATTCTCAGAGGGCACACCATCACATCTGGAGTATTCTGTCTGAGAACAAATGCATGCTCTCCATCAAGTCGGGGAGAAATTTCACACCAATCACAAAGGAGGAATGGGAGCTAACTTCTTCTAAGACACCAATATTATAAAAGACAGCAAAAGTCTGTGGAAACATTCCAGATTAAAGGAGGTGAAAGAGACACAGGTGCTAAATGCAATTCCTGACTCTAAACTGAACACTGTTCTAAAGAGGAATTGACAATATTTTCATAAGAATACTATGTTGAAATATTGTATCAGTGCAAAATTTATGAGAGTTGATAACTGTCCTATGTTTATGTAAGGAAGTATTGCTACTTAGGAAATATGTATTCAAATATTTGTAGGAAAGGAACTAGGTAATTTACTCTCAAAGGGTTCAGAAAAAATATACTGTGGACTATGGAACCAAACACACTGAGAGAGAAGGAGAGAGCTAGCAAACAAATGATAAAGCAAATGCAGTGAAAGCTTAGCAATGGGTGACCTGGGTAAAGGGCACACTCGTGATGTTCTTTATACTCACTCTTGCATCTTTACATAGGTTTGGAAATTTTGCAAACACAAAGCAAAAATATAAAAAGAAAGAAGCCAGCAGGTGGCATGGTGGTTAAGGCACTGGACTGTCATATGGCCAATCACAGTTCAGCTTTCAGAACCATAGTTCGAGTCATGGACCCAGCGACTTGAAACTCACACCAGGTATGTGTGCCCAAAAATCCAGAGAAGAGAATCTAGGAGAAGGGATTGCAGCATGACCGTTCCCCCTGGGGCGGGGGGTGGGGTGGGGTGGGGTGATTTCACACTCTGTGTCCCGTGTCTCTCTGGTAAGCGCACACACTCTATCACAAAAATCCTAGAAAGAAAGAAGCCCCTACCTATTGGGTACCAGGCATTGTGAAAGATGAAAACCCAAGCCCTTCCTGGGGGAAAGAAAGTAACTCACTGAGAAGAAGGCTGTTCCTGGGGCAGGTCTGACACTGGTCCTCAGCAGGTCCCATGCAGTGGAAGCACTTGGTGTGACAGGGCTTGCACCTGTGAGCCTCCTCATCCCAGTACTCGGACGGGGCGCACTCCTTGTTGGCCACGCAGCTCCCATGGGTGCTCATCTTCAGGCCTTTCTGACAAGTTGTGCAGGTCCCAGAGGATGAGCAGGTGTGGCAGGACTTGGGGCAATCTACAGGGACGGTAGAGAGGGCAGAGACTGAAAAGGGGGCAGGGCATCACCCAAGGGAATGGGTTCCCCTAGACAGAAAGGGTGACCACACTTCTTTGATGTTTCTTCTGGAGATTTCTGGGGCCCTAGGTCAAGGATGTGAGGTCAGGAGTTGGGCACAGCCTTTGTGCCAGGAAAGAAAAAGGCCTGCCATTGAACCTCAGCTCCCGACCAGACATAGGCAAGATGGCGCTGAACCCCATTTGATGAAACGCTAAACTTCTCGAGGAAACCGTTCCCAGCTCCACCACCTGCCTCCTTTGCTAACTCCCATCCCAGTGCAGCCAGACACAGTTGCCCACCTTGAAGTGCATGCTCTTTCACAGACGGGGGGAAAGCATCCCTAAACAGTGCTTTACAGCAAACACACTAAAAGGCATCTCCAGATCACAAGGCCAGAGCAGAAAGCCTTCAGGAGCAAGACACATCTTCATGTCCTACTGAACACTTTCCTGTGTTCTAGGACTGGTAGCCAAGGTGGCCCCTGCCAAAGGCAGTCACCCTTACGCCCACGCCACTGAGAGATGAGGGCTGCCTCTGATGGCTATGTCATGTTTCCTCAGAGCAACATGGGGCTGAATCACTGACTAATTGGAGTGAGTCTTGGGCTTTGAAAAAAGGATTTCCCAGAGTACTTCCCTTGCTTGCTTGACAATTCCCGTAGTAATGGGCAATTCATTCCATTATTCTATTCTGCAGTAACTAACAAGAGGCAAATAATTCATGCTCAGTTGAGACATAAGGAGGTATACTAATAGCAGGTCCCTTCTTGAACGTGTAGAGATGAGTGCTGAGCAGGGGATGGGAGAGGGGACTGGGAGCAGGAGAGCTGATGGTGATGGGGATGAAGGGGAGTTGTTTAGGGAGGCAAACGGTGAAGAAAAACAAGAGGGATCAAGAGGGTCAGTGTGGTGGCATGGTGATTGAGGCAGCTGGACCCCACATGGCTGACTGCATAGTTCAAGTCCCAGAACCAGCAGCTTGAAAAACACACCAGGTGCATTTGTGTGCATGCCCCAAATCCCAGGAGAATGAAGAAGAGATTGTGGTTTGATCATCCTCCAAAAGAGGTGTTTCCTCACTTTCCCCCTCTCTCTCTGTCTCCAGTGTTTGCATGTGCCTTATAGCAAAATTGAAAAATAAATAAATAAATAAAATAAAAAAATAAAAGACCCAAGAAGTTCTCTGTGGCACAGCTTTGCTCATGCAATGAACTTATATTGGCTTACAAGTTTGGGTGACTTTTGAAGGCTCATCAGCTGCATTGTAAACTTTCACATCTTTTTTTTTTTCATTTATTTTTTTCTATAAGTAAGAAAAACAGAGAGAGAGAGAGAGAGAGAAGAGGAGAGGAGAGGGAGAGAGAGATAACACCCCCAACAAAGTCTTGATACCACAACCCACTGCCTGTCCACATCATGGATACACATGTGCCTGGCTATCAGGAAGGTCTCTGGATTGAATTTGGAACCTTCCCCCATCCGTCAACCTCAGTGTTTCCCTGCGAGGCCACCGTCCGGCCCCACAGGGGGATCCTTTTTGATCAATAGCTCATGGTCGCTGTTGTGTGGAGGCTTCATAATTGAGGCTTATGAGTGAATGATTCATAGTCAAATGAATTAGAAAAGATTTAAAATATGCTTCCTCTTTTTAATCTTTTTTTTTGACAGGCTTTTTATTTTTTTGCTTTAGGGCGCATGTGCTTACCAGAAAGACACAGAGAGAGAGAGAGAGAGAAAGAGAGAGAGAGAGAGAGAGACAGACAGACAGACAGACAGAAAGCAAGAAATCACCCTCCAGGGTGGATGGCCACGCCGCAATCCCTTCTCTTCCATTCTCCTCTTGGGATCTTGGGCATACACGCACACGTGCCCAGTGTGAGTTTAAGCCACTGGGTCCAGGACTCAAATCGTGGTCATCTACATGGGAGTCCAGCGACATAGCCATTACGCTAACTGCTGGTCCCAAATATGCTTCCTTGACAGGGAGAATAAAGGGTGTGCTGACAGCTCTGGGGCTGAACTAGCCCACTCCAAAGCTTATTTTGTCTCTGCAAAACTCCTTCTTACTAGGCCCCTGGGATGCCAGGCTGGGCAATGCATCCCAGTGGTCTGTTCCTTTTTTTTCTCCTAAAGTTTATTTATTTCTTCTTTCTATTAGTCAGAGAGACAAAGAGACAGAGACAGAGAAACTCAGAGAGATAGCATCCCAAATAGGATCCCAGAACTGTGATGGTATTCTAGCATCAGCCAGCTCTGGATCATGGGCCTACGCATGCCTGGTGTACTTTGGGAGGTCCCCAGCTGTAAATCTGGAACCTTCCCTTGTGGGTCAGCTTCAGGGACCATCGTGTTTTCCCACCATGCCATCGTCTGGCCCCCCAGAAGTAGTTACCTTTGCACATTTTAGTCTCTTTTTCTTGGTAAGTTCCTGCTGGACACTCATCCATACACAGCCCATTATAGAGAGACAAGGAATCACCATCACATTGCTCACAGTCATCATTTTTGGGGCCACTGCAATCCAGGCAGTCTTCATGGCAGGGGACACATTGGCGTGAGTCTTCGTAGAAGCCTTGAGGACAGGACTCATAGCACGTGTCATCATGCAGAAAGAACTCAGGCATGCATTCTGGGGGAAGAGAGAAACAGCAAGTTATGCCCAGGGCAGTAGGAGAAAAGAATTCATTTCTTTTGCAGTGGGTTGGTATGTCCCTTGCCGCTTGGTTCATCTGACCCGATGTGTACATTTGCCCCACCTTGCTCCGGCATATCTTGCAGGCCTAACAATTCCAGCCTTGGGAGGTGGGAGCCACACATGGTGGCCCAATTAGTGGTCCTGAAATGATGTGCCGGAATGACCTTCTTCTTGGAGGTGCAAAAAATTTGCAGAGCTCCAGCAGACAGTGCTGGCTGGGAGGCTGGAGATACTGTTTGGAAAATCCAGCAAGTGGTAACAGATATTTAAGATTATATTGAGCACCTCATGCTCTAGACAATCCAAAAACAGCTTAGGGATTATTGGATGAGTTAATTTTTCATCCATTGATAAGGTAGACAAATGAACAGAGGGTTAATCCGTATGAAAAATGCATTGTTTATTTGTGGCCATTTCCTTATTTTAGGGGAAATCCCAGAAAACACTTTGGGTCACACCAATGAGTGTGCAGCTACCTCTGTGACTTCCTACTTTATAGCAGTCTTCTCTTGCAAGATTTCGTACTCAAACAGGTGAGAACTTTGGTTTTTATTTGTACCTCTAGCACCTAGGACAGTGCTTGGTACACTCCGTGTGTGTGTGTGTGTGTGTGTGTGTGTGTGTGTGTGCATGTCTGCGTGAAGGAATCCATGCAAAAGGGAGCTCTTGTTTGTCTTAACTCAGTGAATCCTTGTGAAAAGTCTGTGTCTCGCCCCTGCTTTCCTCTTTGATGAGGATAGGGATAGACGCATGGCGGTAAAGGTAGGAAGACAGGCTCCCACAGTTCTCTTTGGGCACCCTCTTCAGAAATCAGAGCCACACACGCCCTGGGGACACCGCTCAGTACCTTTGCATGTTTTCTCGTGGATGCAGTCCTGACATCTCTCTGGGCAGTGCTTGCACACCCCCTCCACAGCCACGTGCCTCTGGGGGCAGGTTTCAAGGCAGACCCCGTGGTTCAGGACAAAGCTTCCTTTGCAAGAATGGCAGTGGGTGGCATTTCCTCCACACGTTCTGCAAGAAGAGCTGCAGCGTTCACATACACCGTCTTCTGCATAAAAGCCCCTGTGGAGGGAAGAGAGGATGCAACTGGGGAAGCGGACCAGTTTGGGGGAATGATTTTCCCCAGGTGGCAAAGGAATTAGCGCTCACCCAAGAGGTGCTGCTCTCATCAGCTGAGATGAATACATGTGATCTATTGAAACAGCGTGGTATAGAAGAACATTCAAGAAAAGAAAATGAAAGGATAGGTATTATCCTTGCTGACTAGGTTTGTTTGAAAATGACCATTGTTAATTTTGCATAGTTTATTCATTTTCCCCTTTTTCCTATTATAGTCACTTCGTTTTTATTAGTTTTTCTTTGACTTTTTAAAGTTTTAATTTACTTTTAAAGTTTATTTATTTCATGAGATAGATTGAGAGAGAAAGAGACTGAGAGGCATCCCCACTTAGTCTTGGCACTGAGATCCACCCCCAGCCTCAGCCAGCCCTGGGTCATGGGCACAGTGTGCCTGGTGTGCTCAGGGACGTCTCTGAACACAAACCTGGAACTTTCTCACATATGTCAGCCTTATAGAGCATTGCTTCGCCCATGTCCAGCCCTCTATTTTTCTTTCTTTTTGCTAGAGCCTTACTTTAAAACAGAAAATACTTCTAGTTCAATTTTAAAACGTTTTTAAAAATTAAATTTTTAAAATATTTTTTAAAGTTAAAAAATATTTTTCAAAAGCTGTAAAGGTCTAATGTGCTATATAATTGGGATCACTTTTTTGGTAAATGTTTTCAACCTCTGATGACTTCTTTTGTTATTATTATCTTATTGTTTTTTTTTTTTTTAGAGAGAGATTCTTTTTCCTTCCTTTCTTTCTCTTTCTTTTTTTTTTTTTACTTTTCTTTCCTTTCTTTCTATTTTATTTATTTATTTATTTATTTATTTATTTATTTATTTATTTATTTATGATACAGAGAACGCACGCACAAGTAAGCGCCTGGCATGTTTTTCAAGCCACTGGGTCCAGGAGTCAATCTGTGCTGTTCGCAATGTAGGAGCCAACTGCCTTAACCAACGCACCACTGACACCCCTGTTAGTTACCTTTAGCAATTTTTTTTTTACCGTAATGGAGAATACTCAAAGAACAAAGATGCAGTTACTTTGTCTAACCAAATCTAAGAAGAATTTGGCAAGACAGTGGATAGAACAGTGAATACTGAATACTTCTGATACCTGGATGCTGTTCCATTGGGGGTTATGTTCCTGCTATAAATCTCATTGCTGTCTAGGATGGGCTCACCCTAAAGGAGGATGTCTCAGAAATAGCAACAGAGCTTCCCAAGACAAACAGAAGATCATAGCTCCCTCTGATTCCATCTCCTCTGTTTCTTTGAAAACTCAGACAGGAGAGATCCTGCAGTGATCAGATCACACTACTCATAATAAGAGGGCACATCCTTGTATCTCACTATCTTCAGGATTCCCAAACCATTCTAGTAGCTTCCCTATGCTCAAAATATGCAAGATGTCTTGACTGCTTCACATAGCAAAATATCCCATCACTCTATATGCATGGTTCGACCCAGACCTGGAGGAAAGAAACATTGACTGGTCAACTCACTAGGAGGAAAGCAAACTTAAACTCACACCGGGCCCGTATGCGTGTGTGCCCAAGATGCCCAGAGGAGAATGAAGGAGAAGGGATTGCAGCATGGCCATCTTCCTGGGGGGTGATTTCTCGCTTTCTGTCTCTCTGTCTCTCTCTGTCTTTCTGGTGATACCCTATAGCAAAAACTTCTCAAAAAAAAAAAAGAAATAAATAAAGGTTACAGGATTTCTTTTGGAGGTGATGAAAAATCTGTTAAGATGGATTCTGGTAATGATTGCATAACTTTGTGAACGTTAAAAAACATTAAATTGTACATTTAATTTTTAATTTTTAAATGTGTTATTATGATTATTATTATTGTATATATTCAATCACTATCCTTGTAAAGAGAATTTATTCAATACAGACCAGTCCAGTTGAGAATACTACACATGCTTTTTTTTCCTGAAACATTTTTTAAAATTAATTAATTAATTTACATTCATTCTCTGAGCATCATCACAGCATAGAAAATGTGATTTCCCATCCAGAATACACTGCATAGTGGCTTAATCATAAATGTTATCATTGATAATTTTCCATTTCTAGTTTCATATATATAATATATATATATATATATATATATTTCCCCCTATTTATCACCATCTGCCATTTCCCACCCTCCTCTCACACTATCTCAGATGTCTACAGTTGTATTCCGTTCCCTTTTCCCCCACATTTTAATTGATTCACAAAATTTTTTAAATAATCTAACTACTTTCAATAGCAAGTTCTGCTGGTATATACATATCTGTGAATACATGTCTAACTTTATGCATGAAACTCTGAGTAGAATGAGTATCCTATAAGGCAGCACCAAACTGATACTATATAGCTTACTACAATCATTAAATACATATTTTTAAATATTTTTTCAATTTCAAGAAAAGCAGTTTTAGCTTTATTAAATCAAAGTAATGTTAAGGAACTTTGATTAAAACGTAAAGCCAGGTAACAGGTTAGGATTCTGTTCAAATAGTAGGTACATGAACCTATCGGCAGCTTAAGAAAGGACACAAATCCTTTAAACTGGAAAACAAAGCCTAGAAGAAAATCTGGAATGTTTTAGTCAAAAGTCATAAAATTCATTTCACCAGTTCAGTCTCATGGACTTACTCTTATTTCTGTGTGTCTGTATTTAATTTTCCTCCTATAGCACTCCATTGAGAACTTAGCTATAGAGCCCCAACTAGGTATACTTTATAGTATGTTCATTCTACTCACTGAGGTCTATGCCTAAAGTCAGACTGTGTTCATGGATATGTATATATCAGCTGCACTTGCTGTTGAATGTATTTAGATGGATTAAGATCTGTAGTGAATCAATAAAATGTGGGAAAAAGGGGGAGGCATGGAAAGCAAGTGCAGATACTAGAGACAGTGTATCTAAGGGTGGAAAATGGCAGAGTTGAGAGATAGGGAATCAAGAGGGGGGAGAAACAAAATGTGTAAGAAACAAGAAATGGAAAATTGTCTGTTGGCAATAACATGTATGGTAATATTCTTGATTGAACCGATACACAATGTATTCTGGATGGAAAAATCTCATTTTGTATACTATAATGATGTACGGTGAATGGATGCAAATAAATACATTTAAAATAAAGTTATATAAAAAAGAGAATACTACACATGCTATCATCAACTGGTAACAAACCATTTCTGCGTCCCTCAAACATCTTACCTCAATTGTACATTTTATTTGGGTGAATCGTGTGGTATGTAATGACATCTTAGTAAAGGTGGTATAAAAATAGTTACGCAGTTGGATGAGAGAGTGGCGTGAGCACTGGTTAGTGTGCAGGCTTTGGTGTCAGAGAGGCTGGGGCTCCAATGCTGGCCATACTATGCACCAGCTGTAATGTGGACCATGCGATCCTTTTCCTCATCTGTACAGAGGGAGAACACAGTAATATCTGGAGAAGAAGATCCTGTGAGGATTTATGGGATTGTACATTTGAAGCTCTTAGTACAGGATCTAGATGTTGCAAGTATTCAATAAATAGCTATTTATAAATGGTTTCTTTTCTTTGGGATTCTCTTAGCTTTTTTTTTTTTTTTTTTTTTTTAATTAAGACCCTGAGAAGTATGACACTGATGCAAACCTTCCCTACCAGATTGTGAAGCTTTTGCAGTTGTTTTAACTTAGTTTCTCATATTTATATCAACAACAATTCAAAACAAAGTAGACTCTATCAAGCTATGTATGTACTCACCAGAGAATGAGAAAGAGAAAGAGAGAGGAGAGAGAGAGAGAAAGAGAGAGAGAGCAAGCAGCCCCCAATGGGATGTGATCACACCATAATCCCTTCTCTGTTTTGTCTGGATTTTGAGCACATATGTACATGTGCCAGTGTGTTTTTCAAGCTGCCAGGCCTGGGATTTGAAGAGTGGTCAGCCATGCAGAATCCTACTCCCTTAACCACTAAGTTATGGGCCAGCCCCTGAAGTACTTTTCCATTTGCCATTCCCACTTCTCTTTTAGATCTATCCTGTAGATGTGACTTTTTTTTTTTTTTAAAGAGATTTTTGCTATAGGGTGTGTGTGCTCACTAGAGACAGAGAGACAGAAAGCAAGAAATCACCCCTGACAGGGGGATGAGCATGTCACAATCCCTTCTCCTCTATTTTCCTCTTGGGATTTTGGGCACACATGCACACATGCCCAGCATGAGTTTCAAGCCACTGGGTCTGGAATTCAAATGGTGGTTGACTACGTGGGAGCTCAGCACCTTAACCGCTACACCACCCGCTGGTACTCGTATGGCTCTATACGATGAGAGAAAAGCAGTCCAGAGCAGTCTGTGGAATACGAGGTCTATTTATTTTCCAAAGGCCTCAGTAAAGAAAAAGCCTGAAGGAGTCCCTATGGAAGCACAGGCCTGTAACCCCAGCTAACTGGGAGGACCGCAGGGCGAGACCTTGTCAGAAGTCTCTCTCTCCCTGTCCATTTTTCTCTCACTAAATAAACAAGCAAACAAGAGTAGGGGAATCATAAACTTGGGGAGGAAACCATTAGGATAAGGAATCAATAATCAGAGATTATGATTTATTATTTATAATTCATAGCTCACCTGTTCTAAACTTTTAAAAGAAGGCCCTCGCGATGGAGAAAAAAGCTGACAACACTGATTATTAATACAAGGTGGGAAAGGAACATATTTCCATGAAAATAAAACTACATACATAGAAAAGTCATGTATGGGGAAAAGTGGCCTGGTCTATGGAAGTTTCGACTGCTGTGCTGACAACGATGCTAGTCCCCAAAAGGCATTTCTGTGGGTGCTCTAAATATGGAAGCAGAAGGGTTTTAGGTGAATATGAAGGAACTGCCCCCGAGATAGTGGAGGAGAAGGAACAGAAGCAGGGAGTAGCAAAATACTCAGGGCACTCGGTGTAACACCTGCCTTCATGGAGAAACAGAGGGTGGGCCAGCGAAGTCTGGCACTTGTCGCAGAGGTCGGGTCCAGAGCAAGAGGTGCAGTTCTCTAGACAGTCCTCACAGCTGCCACTCTCTCTCGAGGGCCATGTGCCTTGGGGACAAGTAGAAACGCAGGACTGAGCCAACAGATAGGCACCTAGAAATGCAGAGAAGAGAGCAGGTAAGAATAGTCATCGTGCGTCTGATCTAAGCACACACACCATGCAGAGAACTGACCTGCACCTCAGCTTTTTAACCTCTCCAAAGACCCAGGTATCTGAAACATGTATTTCAGGCTTGCCAAAATATTTATGAAGAATGCTCAGTCCTCCAAGAGTTAAATCTCTAGAAAGGCGATTGACGACCAGAGGCATCAGCTTGTTTTTCTTAGTTTCCTATGGTATTAGGTGCAGGTCACGAGCGGGCTGCCCTTTGCACAGTTGATCTGTCCTATTGACGCCCTGGTCTATGTCTTCCTGGCCTAAGGCTTGCTGCACACACACAGCTCGGCATCTCTTCTGCCTCCTCAAAGCCTATCTTCTTAGGATATTGGCATAGCAACGTTTCCACCTAACTCTCCACCTCCCTTCCCCCCATTTAAGGTTTTTCCACAGGGCACACACACCCATGGGAGAAAGACAGGGACAGGGAAAGTGAGAAATCACCCCCTGGGGGATGATCATGCCACAATCCCTTCTCTTCCACTCTCCTTTTGCGATTTTGGACACACACACACGTGCGCCCGGCATGATGTTCAAGCCACTGTGTCTGGTACTTGAACTACAGTTGGCCATGTAGGAATCTAGTGCCTTAACCACTATACCACCGCTGTCCTCCTGCCCCCAACTCCCTTTTTAATAAATGGTCTACCTATTTATGACTTTTCTTTCTTTTTTATTGCCAGAGAACACATATACTTGTCAGAGACAGAGGGATAGAAAGAGAAAGCACCCTCCACGTCAGTGGGTCATGGTCTAGCTGCAAACTTCTCTCTTACATTTCTTTTTTTTTCTTTTTTGGAGAGGTTTTTGCTGTAGGGCGCATGTGCTCGCCAGATCTTGGGCACACACGCACACGCGCCTGGCGTGAGTTTTAAACCACTGGGTCCAGGACTTGAACCGTGGTCGACTACACGGGAGTTCAGCAACATAGCCATTACGCTAACTGCTGGTCCCTCTCTTCCATTTCTTTCACCTAAGGATCTTGGGTACACTTGCACATGTACCCAGCACATTTTTCAAGCTGCAGGGGCACAGGATTGAACTGTAGTCAGCCATGTGGGATTCTCTTCCCAATGCACAGGACTCACCACTGTGCTACAGGGCCAGCCCTATCTATTTATGCTTAATAGAAAAAAAAATCAGATATCACTATTAAAGAAACAATTAAAAAATGATCCTCAATCCTAAATATTCCAAGAAAATTCTTTCCTTCTTGGAGCATTAACTTTTATATACATATATATTATTTTACATACATATGTGTCAGTACATTTTATTCATGATAGAATGCATATGTATGTTCTTGAGAGAGAGAGAGAGAGTGGAAAAAGCAACCTTTCACTGGAACATAATCACAATACAATCCTTTTTCCTCCAGTTCTCCATCCTGTCAAGATCCTGGCCAACCTTGGTGTAAAGCTGATCTCACTGGGATTTGAACCCTGGTTGGCCATGTGGGATCTGGCTTCCTCTGCAAAGCACCTACCTACTGTACCACTGGGCCAGCCCACCTTTCACATTTTTATAATCATGGAACATATATTATCGTAAATTCTGCTTTTGTATCACATCCCACTATTAACATTGTACGTTCCAACATGGCCTTCCTAATGATCACTTTATTAGGAACATTTTTTATGTTAACACACCACATGAACAAAATATCCCTCTAATTCAGGGAAATAATGTTATTTATAATTTTGTTAGTGATGGTGAAGCAACTGATAATCGACTGAACTGTACTGTTCCCTGCTCCTCCAACCATTAAATCTGTCATTTGTTAACGAAGAAAGAAATTCATGGGCTTTTAATCCCTACTTGCATTCTCTACCTTAAATTCTCTTGATTCTCATAAAATGTTTGAAAAAGCAATGGGACATTGCTAAAAAGTCAGGTAGCTATAGATTTTAGAGAATTCTATGACCAAGTCTACCAATGACATCATCATGCCTTTTGGCCAAGAAACACTTTTTTCTCTTGTAAAAATACTTTCCTTGAAAGCCAGTGTTTATTAGTGGTCAGTGTTTGGTTCTTATGTGTCTCTCGAGTAGCCACTGGGATGTGAACATCTGATGGGACGAGATCAAGATCCTACAAACCCCCTTACACAAAGATGCCAAGATACATGTGTTACAATGAACTGGTTTGGCCGCCGCCACCTCCTGCCACACTCCACACTAACCTTTTGGACATGAGGTGCACAGAGTTGCAGATCCATTGCAGGTTTTACAAGAAAAATGACAAAGCTCGAATTGCCTCAAAGTGTCTGTATGGGAAAGAAAGAGCAAATAAGATTTCTCCTTTGAATCGGTTCATGGTATCACAGTGTTGGAAGAGATCTCGTGAGTAACTTAGTCTCCTTTCTCGCCCCAGATAGAATCCCTGTGGTTTTTCATAATAGTTAGTTGCTGTTACCCACCCATTGCCACTGTGTAACTTCATTTATTTTTTTTCTTTTACTCCTTCATCAATAACTGATTGTCAAGACTGTTTTTTTTTGTTTTGTTTTCAAATTTCCAGTGACAGGGACTGTGGTATTTTATAGGATAGCTTTAAATATTGGGTTTTTGGGAAAGTCATGCCACATTTTTACATAGAGAAACATGTCATGACTATCCCGATGACCTAATATTAAAAGGATGTTTGAACCAATATATGTTACTTTTTTTCATATGTAAAAAGTATGTAGGAGTAAGTGTTTGTATGTGTTTGTATGTACGTGCTCAGGAATGAGTTTGCAACCATAATCACTTCTCTTCCCAAGATACTTAAGTGACTGCTTCTCTTTACTCCGAGGTGATAGCTGAGAACTCATTGTGCCTCTCCTGGGAGCATGGTGGCCTCTTTTGTCTTTTCTTCTTTGATTTACTTCAAGATTTACTGTCCAATGTTTAGATCTCTGTGTTCTTCAGAGCAGCCATTGTGGCATGCAAACTAAATTGATCTCATCTTACATTTGCCCCAATTCACTAGGAAACATCACAGAAATCGCCTACTACTCATGGGCTTTCTGGTTGGTCAGGTTTTAAGCAGGCCGCCTAATGTGAATCTGCCATTCATCTGGGAGACAAATGCTCTAACGTCTATCATGTCTATGTGTCTCCCTCTCCTTTTTCTTCTAAGAACATTCATGGTAGGCTTTTCTAAGAAGTCACCTCAACAACTCCAGGGGACAATTTCAGACATATAAGACATCCTCATTGTCAACACTCAACCAACATATGAGATCTTGAAAGCTCAGGAATTGCTCAGGAATCAGTATGACTTACCTGGGAAAACTAGAAAAAGAAGTTCTCGCTCTGAATAGGTGATCTGAATGACTGTGACCCTCAGTCATTGTTGGCATGTTACTATTCTCCTCTATTATGCCCTCCCCTTCTCCCGTCCTTTCCTTCCTTTCTTGCTTTCCTTCCTTTCTTCTCTTCCTGAGAGTCAGTACGGTTCAGATGGCTCTCCACTCACACCTGCCTTCAGATCCCAGCTGTGCCACTTCAAGGTAGGATCACCAGGCATAGGGTAATTAAACTCTGAGTCCTACTGTCCATGTCTCTAAAGTGAGAGAAACGATTCCTCCCGTATAGAACTGCTGTGGGGGCCAAATGAGATCCTGTATGTAAAGTGCTTAACACAGTGACTCATAAACGGCAGCTCCCTCTGCTTCCTCTGGTCGCTCCTGACTTCCACTGGCCTGTCTCCTTGCCCAGGCTTGTAGCTCCCACTCCCTTTCCTCTGGTCGCATACCTGGACGGCACCAGGAGGCAGGGCTTGCTCTCTATGCCTGCACTTGTGACTAGAACGCTGCTGAGTCTTGTTTTAGAGGAAACCAGACTCAAATACAGATGAGATAGACAGACAGATAAAGATTTAATGATGGCCGATGCTGCCGGGCTGAGTGGCAGGGTTTTCTTTCCTTGTCTGGAGATAAAAATTTGCCCTGGTTTTCCAGTGTACTAATTAAAGCCAATGATGGACGGATCTACTCTCTCTGGGGAATCTGATAAGAGCTCAATTAGCTTTGTGCCGAGCCACCGTAGCCATGGGGTTGTCACAGAAGTGGCCACATGTCTCAGCGTGACTGAATCTGTCCCTGACGGCCTTTTTTACCTGACAACATCGCTTAACCCAAAAGAGAAGGTAGCAGAAGGACAGCAGCAATTCTGCTGCTAATATCAGTCAAGATGCTTAATGAATGGCTGAGAGCGATTGTTCAAAGAACGATAACAGAAGACTATTTATCAGACAGCGAGCCCCTTGAACATCTTCACTATGGCATGTCTGAGCCACGGGCTCATTTTCTCTTGATGCTATCATTTTTATGATAGGAGGTTTCATTAATTTTCTCATATTTATGTAACGTATAATGTCTATATCTACATAACACACATTTATAATTACAAAAAGCTCACAAGCTGGCAATTTGATATTCTACTGCATATACCTGGTACACATTTTGTAATGTTCCCATGTCTCCACCAGAGGGGACTCTGTCCAAGCAGTTCAGTTTGCAATTAGGTGTGAGCAGCGGACAGAATCGTCTCCAGCCAGATATCATCATAAAAGATTAGCCACTTAATCTTAATAATTAAATTCTGACTCTGATCGTAGTTCTCTTTTTCCCTCCCTCATAAATTCCAGATTGGAGAGGACCTTAAAAAAATCACTTTAACTAAGAAAATGTAATTAATGTCCACCCTTCGGAAATGGCTACTATAGCTAAACCATATAAGGCAAGGGATTCTTTTTTTTTTTTTTTAAATTAAATAAGTACTACTCACATGGTTTAAAATGGAGAAAAGATGTATATTGTACTGTGAAGTCTCTCTCCTAATCCCTTCTTTACTTTAATAGAACCTATACATAGCACTTTACCTATTTATCATCTCATGTATTTAATATTTAATTTTATATATTATTATTTAATTTGACCAGAGAGAGACAGAGAGAAAAAGAGAGGGAAAGTGAAAAAGCAAACCATAAGGTCCAGGACTCGAACCCCATTCAGCCATGTGGGAGTTCAGTGCCTTAACCACCATGTCACCTGCAGGCCCCACCTTACATTTAAAAAAACCCCCAAAACTCAATATATATTAGAGACCGTTCTTTAGGAATACATAAAGAAGCTCTGTATTCTTTTTGATGGCTTGGTAGTATTCCATGAATGGATGAATCACATTTCATTTCTCTAGTCTCCTAGTAGCCAATGTGTTTCTCCAAAACTTTGCTATTTCAAACAATGCTGCAGAGACTAGGAAGGACGAAGATGCTTCTTGGGCCCAGGTAAGGATGTGCAAGCACAGAAGCTTCTGGACAGCCTCTGTGTAGGCGTCAGGAATGTCCTCATACGTTACTGAAATCTCCACTGCAGAGTTTCCTCACTGTTTTTCCCCTTTGGGTGCCCACCGATGTCTATGTTTATGGCCCTCTCTTGTCTTCACTTCTATCCTGTGACTTCTGCACCCCCACCAGCCCCTGGTCTCCCAGCTCCTTGGGTTGCTTTCCACATAGTGGAGCCTCTCTCTCGCTGTGATTGTCTGCTCCCTATTTCCCTGTTACCTCTTTTCATTTGAACCTTCCACCTTCGTCGCTCCTGCAGCACGCTCTTCACCAAAGATGGGTTTGCAGTGGGCACAGCTTCTTTTTTATTAAAAAAAAAAAGTGTTTTATTTTTTTAACACGAAAATAAGAAAGAAGATCAACTTCACTTATACTCCCACCACCAGCAATGTCTGCCGTGTATTTTGACACATAGATTTCCCATCTTTAGAGCAAAAGGGTGCGTATGACGACATCTGTGTAGGGACATGTGACCTGTTACATCTTCCGCGTATGTGACACTGACTCTGTGCATTGCATTTAACATGATAAATTTTAGCAGCCTTTTCATTTGTCATTAAAATTCATTGAAATATCATTTTCAATAGTTTGTATATTTATTTGTATAAACCATAATTAACTTAATATTTTCTCTTTTTTTTTTTTTTTTTTTTGCCTTTTTAGATTGTCTCCCCCCAGTTATTATAAATAAAGCCAATATCAGCATCTTTGTGATTATAAGGGGCCTTCAAAAAGTTCATCGAACATGTGTATTATGAAAAACTATGCATGAATCTCAACATTTTTTTGTACCAAAATAAACTCATACTTTAACCCTATGACTTTCACAAAATTTTGAAGTCTCCTTTTATTTTCTTGGCTAAATCTGGACTCTGCTATGCTATTAGGACACCCACTGGCCATCTCTGCTGCCTTCTTTCTGGGGCTATGCCCCCTGCCCCCCAGGTCTGTATTACTTTCTAGGCCTCTGAAATTGCCTTCTTTCATGAACTGTGAAATGCTTCTTTGGAAGTGAACGAGTGTTTCAAGTGTTAAAACTGGTTGGGCTAAAGACTTAGGGACCAGATGATTCGTCATTGTGTCATATATGCATTGGGAGCTTCATGTGTATCTCCGCACTGACTTCTCAAAATGACTCTGTGTGAGGCAGTTTTATGTTCTCATTTTGATAGATGAGGAAACTGAGGCTCAGAGAAGATGACAAACTTGTTCATTCAATAACAGTAAATAACAGAGCCGGGTTTTGAATTCAGGTAGGCCTAATGCTAAAGTTCATATCCACTAGAGAGATTTCTCAGAGAATATTTTGGGCTTTAAAGTAGTTTGATAAAGGCCAAAGCAATAATGTGCAGGTAAAACAGCTTTTTAGGAAAATTAATAACAGGGCCAGCTCTGTGGCATAGTAATAACGTAATGCTCAATAGAAACAGGATCCCACATGATGACCATGGTTTAAATCCCTGGCCCAGTCAACCTGAACCATGCCTAATAGTGAAGGAAAGCCCAAGATCCAAGGCCATGGAGGCCTGGAGGAAGGGAATTGTATTACCACACCCTGTGGAGAGTGCTCCTCTTTCTCACTTATGCTCTCTCTCTCTCTCTCAACTCCCACAAGGAAAAAAAATGAAGAACAAAAAGCTTGATGTGTAGTGCTTCTAATTTCCGTGGTGTAAATATTCTCACCTTAGCTGACTTCAAGCTATTACTACCTTAACAATCCACTTACAACATTCCTGTGTATGTAACAATCAATGCAAGCTGATACAAGTGACCCCTTTCTATCAGGTGGACCAGACGGTTTAGTAACTTACCTAGTGCCGTGTGTTTTCTGTAGTCTGCATTCTGGTTGGTTAACTAAAAATGACATGTGTCCTTATTTCTAAGTTAAGTGAGGCCGCTGCATACATCTACAAAGTACTTCTATTTTTTTTTTTTTTTTTTGGAGAGGTTTTTGCTATAGGGCGTGTGCACTCACCAGAAAGACAGAGAGAGACAGCGAGACAGAAAGCGAGAAATCACCCCCCAGGAGGGATGGCCACACCGCAATCCCTTTTCCTCCATTCTTCTCTCAGGATCTTGGGCACGCACGCACATGTACCCGGCATGAGTTTAAGCCACCGGGTCCAGGACTTGAACTACGGTTGACTACATGGGAGTTCAGCGACATAGCCATTACGCTAACTGCTGGTCCCTACAAAGTACTTCTAAACAAGTCAGATTTCTATGACATCATTAATGTTTTCTACTTATTTATTCTCATTTATTTATTTCAGTTTTGCCAGAGGGCACCTGTGCTTGCCAGAAAAGGTAGCGGGAGCAGTGAAAAAGAAGCCCCCATGGCGAATGGTCATGCCACAAGCCCTTTTCCATTTCTTCCTGCTTTTGGGATTTTTTTTGCACACACATACATGTGCCAGGTGTGTTTTTCAAGCCACTGGGTCTGGGGTCTTGAACCGTGCAATTGGCCAGCCACCTTATCTGCCACTCCGCAGGCTGGCCCTATTTTAATATTTTTAAATTGCCAGAGGATTTGTGCATTTGCCAGAGAGAAAGGGAGAAGGAGAAAGCACTCCCCAGAGGGGCATGGTCATGTCATAATCCCCTTTCCATTTCTCCCTCCTGCTTGGATCTGGCAGCACGCGTGCACACATGCCCAGTGTGTTTTTCAAGCTGCCAGGTCCAGGATTCGAGTCATACAGTTGGCCATGTGAGACCCAGTGTGCTTAACCACTGGGCTATGGGTCTATCCAAGACATCTTTAAAGTTTTCTAAAGTTCAGACAAGATTAGGTAACGTATCTCCACACTATTGAGGCTGATTTTTTTTTCCACGTGAAAGGCTTTCATTGTTTGTGACTGACCCTGGGATTCTAGTCTTTCCCCAAACATAGGAATTAAGATCAAAAGACAGACTCGTGATAAATTGGTAGGATGTGGTCAAAGATAAAAAGTTCATTCGCCATGTCTGCACTTTGTAGGTTAGGCTCTCATCGGAATATGTAATTAGAGCCGGCTACAACATGGTTTTAATCACTAATGGAAGTCGGTGGGCAGGGAAATGTCAGGAATTATTTCTAGGACTCTCTAGCACTATTGGGGGGGGGTTGGGAGGTCTGGAGGGACACTTAAGAAAATCCAAAGGATTTGATAGTAACAGAGGACACTGTCCATTCCCAGTAACAGCTCAGGAAACCTTCTGCATGTGAATTTTTCTCCCAGTGGTGCTTTGGGTGAGGCTTCAGTCAGTGCTAAAGCCGTCAGGAGCGTGTTTACTATCGCTTTATTTCTGTCCTGTAAGGAACTGGACTAAGTGGTCTTGCTGGCATACCAGGGGCTGGCACAGAGGGTCTGGGGATGATCTGTCCACACGCACAGCGACTTTCGGTGGTTGGAAGAACAGAGCTGAGCACCATCTCTGGAGATGATTTATCCTTGGCTGGAGCATCTGCCAGGCATGATCTGCTATGTGTAGGAATCCCCATCCTTGGACTACTATCCCCGCTGTCTTGGTCGTTGGCAAAGAACGGTGATTCTCTCCTCATTGTCCTCTCATCCTGACTCGCCATGAAAGCGGTTCGCGGAACTCTGACTGCATTTTATGTCTGTGGTATTTTCCCAGAACAGGCTGATATAGGCTCAGAGGGTGGACTGTCGTCTTCAGAGACAAATAGACAAATACAACTTCCACTGGGGAGCACTGTGGGTGAAGGAATGGCCTGAAGTTTGTGTCATCTTACCTTTCTCACTGGAATCTGAATTTTTTTTTTTAAATAAAAAATAACCACAACAAACAAACAAACAAACAAATAAGGACTAGAAGGTGGTGCGGAGGTTAAAGTGCTGGGTCCACATGGCTGACTCCAACGGCTTGAAAATCACACTGGGTGTGTGTGCATGGCCAAGATCCCAAGAGAACGGAGGAGAAGGGATTTGTGGCCATCCCTCCTGGGGGGGTGGTTTTTCTTTCTCTGTCTCTGGTGAGTACACACACCACACAGCAAAGAAACCACCACCACAATGATAAAAATAAACAAAAAACCTTGCTGGCACCACCTAGGCAGCTACATTCCCTCATAAACACTCGGTCATTTGTCTGGGCTTCCTCTAAATTGACCCAGGATGACTGCAATCTGCTCTCCACCACCCTAAAGGTGTGGCTAATTAGTGTGTGTTCTCTGGAAACTTCTATTCTCTTATTGCACTCCCGACCTTGTTTTTTAAGGAAAGGAAGTCAGGAGAAAGATGTAGCCATGGACTCAAATCCTCCCAGGACTTTATGGAATGCATTTCCCATTTACTATCCATTTCAGTGCTTAAATTGTGCAGGAGAAGCCGTGCCGCGGCCTTACCTTGCTCAGTGAATGAATGTTTTTTTCTCTTGTTAATGGTCTGCATGTCTTATTTCATAGATCACAGGAATGGAAAAGTGCAGCTATGTCATTGACCTTATTGCTTTCGTCCAGCCATGGAAAACATTCTCGTGTGTTTTCCAAATCTCCTGTTAGTGTGAACCCCCCAAACAGACGAATTCCTTTTTCTCTTCAAAAACATTACGTTGTGATAGTAGAAATTTGGAGGGGTGGGTGTGGTGCTTCAACAAAAGGGAGCAATGGCAGCTTGACTTCTGCTTGCAAAATGCGTAGTTCAGTTGAAGGGACGCGTAATCATCGGGGGAATCAAGTCTGCTCTGACTCTGGGCTCCCTGGACCTTTTCATCATCTGGACACCAGATAAAATACAGATGTTCCCAGCTAGAAACCCAGCACCGGGCCATGCTCTTGGCTCGCACTGCCTCTGAAATGCCTGACTGCCAGACAAACTCATTTTCAGCATTTTGATTCAGCAATAATTCACGGAAGATACCCTGATCTGGATTGGATCATTTTCTTCCTCGCGGTGTCTCTGAAACAGGCCCAGTGTTCGCTGTGGCCTTTGGCTGCTGAGTTTGTGATGGTCTCGGAGTGCCCTTTAAGTCACATGTGCAAGACCGTCCTAGTCGACAGCAGTTGGGTTGGCCACAGCCTTCCTCTCAAACCCAGCGACACACTCTTCTCCTGCCCCAGATCTAGCACTCCTGCAAGCCCCACGAGATTTGTCCTGTGCAGACCATGGTGCAGTGGCTGTTTCCTAAGCGCTGATATGACCCTTTTAACAAATCCTTGCCTCAAAATCACATGGAGAGCATTTCATTATTTTTGTGAATGTCCTGTGTAGAAGATAAGGCAGACTTTTTCCAGAAGGAAGAGGATTTTTGCTTTTGAACCAGCGTAGGCATGGAGAGGTCATAGAAAGTTTGTAATT